GCTCCATGCGGAGCGGGGGGGACGATGGACCCTGATGGGATGATCTACATTATCTTCTCTCGGGGGAGAAAACGGCATCGATCTATTGCCGTTTTTGGTTTTGATGGAGATCCTTGTCGAAGACCCCAAACAGCAGCCACCAAAACTTCCTCTCAGGGGTCGAGTCTAACAAGCAGGGCAGATATGAGCACACGTCAGACAGGTGCCTGGTGGTGGGGGCATGAGTATCAGACCTTCGGTGGCACTTGATCAACAGACAAATGTAGAGGTGAGCGACCCAAAGCCAAGAAGGCGATTATTCGGCTTGACGGGCCACTTTCCGGTGCGAGAGGGGAGAAACTGACGACTCAGCAGCAAGTGCGACTGGATGGGGAATCAATGGCGTGGTATCTTATCTCAGTTGTGAGGTGACACGGAAGGTTGCAGCAGTGGGTAACTGACGGTGGGTAAATTAGCTGAAAGTAAGTCACTTGCCCCGCACAACCTGTCAGCATCAAATCGTAGTAGGGCAGACCGGCCCGCTCCTCGCAGATCGCTTAGACCCGACTAGATGATCTGTGTTATCTATTCGCCCTCAAAGAAGAAAACTTGTTACTGCATTGCAGGTGTTGGTTGTAACCTAGCTTCCGGTCTTGCCTCACACAAGACGAAGACCAATGAGTTGCTTGTCTACCAGCAGCAGCCAAGACGGATAAAATCAGGCAAGCTGCGGTATTTTCTCAACCAACGTTGCCGGAAATGCATTGACCCATTGCTGCCCGACACTCAAACCTGCACCAACACCAAAACAGTCATGCACTTTGCCGTCCGAACTGACCGCACGTTGCCTTGTCAATACCTTATGCATGTTGGTGGCTTACTGGAAAGTTACAGGGGCACGTTGTCAACTACGGTAAGTTTGAAGGAGGCCCGAGCGGTGGTCGGTGACCAAATGACCTCTTTGTGTTGTTGAAGACGTGCATCCTGACGGGCGGGACATTGGGTCCGGGAGGGAGACCATTCCGCCGTTATTGCAGCCTGACAGCTCTTGGTGTTGTTGATCATTATTGTGGATCACTCTCTGGGTCCGGGGTATTGAGGCCAGATTGCAAGTGGGGCTCAGATCACAACAGCGCCTTCGCGTTTACTCAAAAAGGTGCAGTCCATAGGGATGTATAGCTGGGCGTGTATATGGCGTGTGACTGCTATAGCTATATCCTTGTAGCTGGTTTCAGTATAAGGATGTGTTGGATGATGACCCTGTGTTGGATTGACCCTCGTCTGACGCAATCCTCTGATATGTCAATATCCTGATCTTAGTCATAGGTGGCGAGATTGACATCATAGGTGGCGAGGTTGATAGAGAAAGCCCCTCTCAGAAAAGAGGGGGTCGGGGAGAGAAGATCATCAATACAATCATCAATTGAAATCAGATCATTTGATCAATTACTTATCTCTTGATTGACCAAGGCGTATTGGATCCATCACCCTGTATGACGAAACCTCGGATAGATTGATATCCTGACCTTAGTCAGAAGGGGGGTATGAAAACCCCTCTTCCGGCCGATCCGGATGACTGGCAGAAGTAATCATCAACATCATCATCACTGTATTGATCCCTATCCATCTGATCGAATTGACCGTAACGGATCCATCACAACTCACTCGCTCATTAACCTTAAATCCCCGCTTTTACCCGTCCTTGGCGGCCGCTCTTCTTGTGCGCCGTCTAGTCCGCCTTTGGATGCTCTTTCCCACAGTACCGATCAGCTTTGCATCCCATACATCGCTTAATCCCCTCCTTTTTTCCACAAACCTGACAGGCCAAAGTCTCCATGACCCACCTGCTCGTCCAGGATGGCTTCCAGTGATCTCCGCCATCTCAACCATTCATAATTCGAAATGCGAGACATTCTAGGGTAGGACTCCAAGTGTCGGACTCGCCGAGGGTCACGTGTGGTCCTTAGCGGCCCGAGTTGGTATGATCAAATAGATGATTGTGTATTAAATCTTGTCTCTGTCTTCTTCTAAGGCAATTATTGATCTTCTTTATAGATCCTCTGTTTCTCGAAGATTCATCTTTCTTCTGTTCGTTTCGGGTGGCAAGATCTTATGCTCTTGTCCCACTTTCCTTAGTCATCCGGCTGGACCTCTTTCATTCGTCTGACACAACCTGGGTTGGCATCACGTGCCACGACAACAAGGCATCGTACTTTTAATCAACCGAGATGTCTTGATTGTTAGGAGGGGTAGACATTTAGGGCGACTAGAGAAATAAACTTGTTTGGAAGTTGAGAAGAAAGCCATGCGATTCGGCTGTGGCGGCATGATATGTGGCAGACTTTGATTGCGACACACTTGGGCTGCCACTACTTAAAAGGGGCGGCCAAGCCGCTCGACATTGTTCCTGCGTTTGTCTAACCTGGCCAGCAGAACGCTTTTTAATGTATCGGGTTCCTGCATAAGACCGACTATTATATAATACACGTCCAGAGCATTGCTTAAGTGGTCGCGGCGAGGTCATAGAGAGGACATGATTAAATAGGGAAGGACGGCCGGATGGAAGGCTGTTCAGTTGCGAATGGAGAAGGCGGGTGGTCCCACGCTCTGCATGCAGAGCAAACAGCCTCGCGCACGATGAGTGGCAGTGCTGAGCGGGGTTATATCGAGATGCCGCCTTCCACCTCAGCTCAAACCCATCAAACCCATCGCATCCATCACGTCCATCGATCGCACCGCCATGGAGGCTGTTGGTCTCACCGTCGGGGTCGTTGGGCTCGCCGGCCTCTTCAGCTCCTGCCTAGAGGCTGTGGACAAGGTGCAGACCTACCGATCATTCGGGTCCGACTCGCATGTGCTAGATACCAGATTCAAGGCTGCAAAGGTCCGCTTCGAGAAATGGGGTCGGCGCGTCGGGTTCGGAGAAACGATGCGGTCGGAAGACCATCACCCTACTCTCGCCGACCGCGATATATCTGCGGCGGTACAGGATATTTTCCAGATCATTACTACTCTCTGTGATGCGAGCGACGCGTCTGCACACCACACCAGCCGGACCATGACGCCAAGCGATGACGTCTCGTTGGGCTCGCTCCGACCCCGGCCTCACGGCACGAGGAGACGGAAACTGGTTTGGACGCTCTGGGGCAAGACAGAGCGCACAGATCAGGTCGAGCTGTTCGAAAAGCTGGTGCAACAACTGCACAACTTGGTGCCCGTCGATGCAGTGCAGGATACGCGGCCGGTACACGAGCTGGACACCAGGCGCACCGACAGGCTCGCGTCCGGGTTAGGTGCGTATCTGAACGCTGCCTCGATGCTCATCGTCTAACGGAGATCAGGAACTTCCTCAGACCATGCTTGGCCCGCTGAGCTGCAGCGGATCCTCGCCCGGATCGAAGAGGCGAACAGAGGTAAGGCGTCATCTCCGAGCTTCTAGTGTCACTCTAACGGAGCGAAGCCGAGACGCGACGCGCAATCCACTCCTGGCTCGGCCGCGGGTCCCCAAACGAACGCTACCATGACTCCGTCCAGAAGAGGCTCGTCGGCACCTGCGCCTGGATCTTCCACCGGCCCGCATTCCAGAACTGGCTCGACCAAGAATTCCCCGCAGGCGCAAAGCTGCTGTGGATCAACGGAACCGCGGGGTTCGGCAAGACGATTCTGTGCGCGCACGTCGTCGAACACCTCTCGTCCACCCTTAAGACACCCGTCGCCCATTTCTTCTTCTCATCCGACCTCGAGAGCCGCGAAGACCCTGTCGTGGCCGTACGATCATGGATTTCCCAGGTCGTGTCACAGCGCGATGGCGCGTTCGAGCACGTCCGCCAGAAATGGGAGGCTGATTCGGATCCCGTCGCGACCCGTGCGAACGTCGTCATGCTCTTCACACAGCTCCTCCGCGTTGTTCCCGGCTGTACGTTCATTGTCGACGGTCTAGACGAATGCACTTACTTGGACGACAGAAGCACGTCGGTCACCAAATTTATCGAAACTGTTAAGAAGGCGGTTGTTGGGACGCTCGTGTTCTCGTGGTCAGTCACGCCGAGCCAGAGATCCGAACCGCCCTCACAGACGACACACCCGAAAGCTTTGCCGAATACGAGATTGCACCCGATGACGTACGATCCGATACACATTGTCGACAGAAAATTACCCAACAAGAGCGACGATGTCCGATCGACCCTCTCCAAAGCAATGTCCGATCAATGCGAAGGCCAGTTCCTCTGGCTGAAGATGCAGGAGAAATCTTTGAGCAGAGGGATGAACAAGAAACAGCTCCAGGATACCATCGAAGAAACTCCGGCTGGGCTGGACCAATTATACGACCGAAGCTGGCAGAGAATCACCCAGGCCCGAGAGGGGGACAGGCAACGTATCTACGCCCTATTGCGCTGGGCGGCATTCGCACTACGGCCCCTGACAGTCTGCGAGGTCACCGAAGCTGTCCTTATCGACGAATCCGAAGACCTGCCCATCGACGATCTCCCTGACCCTGTGGATGACGACTACATCGACAGCGAAATAGTCGGTCTTTGTGGGCCTCTCTTGGAGGTCAGAAGCCGAGGGTCGCGAGTAAACCTTGCCATTCGGCTGGCCTGATTTGCATGAGAAGCAGTGACAAGCGTGCTTGCTTTTTCCACAGCCATGGAAGGCGCTAATGCTGCTGCCGGTGTCATTGCATTGGTCAACCTACCAGCCAGGTCCGTACGATGGAGTCTGGACCGGAACCTTAGTCTAGGTGTGACGTAGGCGGTTCTTCACATGTCACGGCCGCTGTCAAACTGACAGGATGATTTTCACCCGACATATTCTTAGCTTGCAATATGCGCCACTAGGCCTCCGGGAGCTCCATGTGAGAGCGTCTCTGCCCATGGAGATCTGAGTGTAAATATGTCGCCGCCCCGCTGTCATGGACATGTTCACTTGCCCTTGTTGCCACTGCCAAACCCCGAAAGACAGGCTACTTACCCAGCATCGCTTTCATCATTGAGGACTTTATTCCACTCCCCGTGGCAATCATGCCGTCGATGTGGTCGGCTTGGAAATCCAAGCTCAAGAGACGGAGCTGCCAAACATCTCCGCCCCAGCCTGCCTTGACTACTTCAGAGACTCCTTCCCCGTCCGCCTCTCCCGGTCCCGAAATATCACCGCAGAGCCTACAAGAACGACTTTGGAACCAAGCGTACGATGAGCTCAAAGCGAACGAGTCTAAAACTGTCCAGGCGTACGAGAAGATTCTCACGTGTGAGCTCAAAGGGGGCGATCCAACTTCCATGGGTTTCGCGACTCAGGGAAATGAGATTGAACAGACCCAGAAGGGCAGATGGGGCCAAATGGAGCAGGTTGTCCGGGCCGGCTTAGAGAGGACTGCGAAAGAAGCAGACATCAAGCAAGGGATCCAGGATGGAATGCAAGCCGTATACGCCGTAAAGGGAATAGTAGACAAGGCTGTGCAGGCCTCTCCCGAAGCTGCCATTGCCTGGGTCGGCGTCTGCTTTGCTCTAGAGGTCAGTTCACCTTTCTCGCCCCCCGAGGTCTACAGCCGTGGCCCGCTAACAGCCGACAGATACTCTCGAATCCGATCACCGAGGCAGGTATCAACCGTGAGGGAATTGCCTACGTCGTGTCGAGAATGGATTGGTACTGGAGCCTGACGGGCCTCCTTCTCGATGAGAACAGGGCCGAGACGCCCTCTGCGGGGCTGCGAGACCAGCTTGAGACGCACGTCGCCCAGCTCTACCAGAAACTCCTCTTGTACCAGATGAAGAGCGTCTGCCTATACTACCGAAACAGGGGCGCTGTCTTCCTGAGGGACATGTTGAAGCTTGACGACTGGGATGGCACCCTCGATGAGATCCGAAAGGCCGAGGACGCGGTTCGGAGGGACTCTGAACAGTACAGCACCGAACAGATCAGATCGCACCTGCAGGCCATCGCCATCGCCGCAGGTTCCCAGGAGATGAAGCTTCAAGCTATCTATTTGGCCATCCAGGACGAAACAAAACGACAATGTCTGAAGGATTTACGGGTAACCGACGCTCGAGACGATAAGGCTCGCATCGTGAGCACGAAAGGCGGCCTGCTGGAAGACTCGTATCGCTGGATTCTTGACGACTCCGACTTCATAAGATGGCGCGACGGCCCGCAGAAACGGCTATTCTGGATTAAGGGCGACCCGGGCAAGGGGAAGACTATGCTGATTTGCGGCATTATCGACCACCTGAACAGTAAACCCACCAGAGCTGGCCAACCCGCCTATTTCTTCTGCCAGGGCACCGACGCGCGCCTCAATAATGCGGCGGCCGTGCTACGCAGCCTCATATATTTCCTCATTATCCAGAATCCACCTCTCATCTCGTACGTCCAAGAACAGTACAACCATGCTGGTAAACTACTGTTTGAGGACGCGAATGCCTGGGTTGCCCTGTCCCGAATCCTTACAAAGATGCTGGACGACCCGATGTTGAAAGGCAAGATACTGATCGTCGATGCGCTGGATGAATGCGTGACGGACCTAGAAAAGCTGATCAACTTCATTTACGAATCGTCTTCATCTTGTGCGAAGTGGATTGTGTCGAGCCGGAATTTGCCGACCATCGAGGAGACGCTGGATCGTGCCACGGAGAAAGTCAAGCTGTGCCTCGAGCTGAAAGCTGACTCCATCTCCGCTGCTGTTCAAACGTTCATTCAATACAAGGTGGATCAACTGGCGCAGCTGAAAGAATACGACAACGAAACAGGGGATGAGGTCCGGAGTCACTTGCTCACCCACGCCAACGATACCTTCCTCTGGGTGGCATTGGTGTGCCAAGAACTCGAGAAGGCAGATGCCTGGAACGTATCCGACATTCTCAAGGATCTACCGGGTGGTTTGGAAGAAATATATGACCGGATGATGCGAAACATTGGACTCCTTCAGTGGCGGGATCCTGAATTTTGTCAACGTATCCTTTCGACGGTCTCTATAGCGTACCGCCCACTTCACCTAGAGGAATTAGGTGCCCTGTCAGGACTGCCGCCGAATATCACGAAGATAAAGGGGTCCACCGCGAAGATCGCCAGTATGTGCGGTTCCTTTCTCACAATCAGGGATGGCATTGTCTACTTTGTGCATCATTCGGCGAAGGAATTCCTCCTCAATAAGGCATCAGACAAATTCCTACAGTCTGGTATCGCGCATGAACATCACGCCATATTCTTGAGGTCGATAGAGATCTTGAAGAAAACACTCTGGCGAGACGTTTACGGCCTGCGTGTCCCCGGATTCCCCATCGAATGCGTCTCCCCGCCTGACCCGGACCCGCTTGCCGCGTCACGGTACTCCTGTATCTATTGGGCTGACCACCTCTGTGACTCCAATCCCACGAACAGGAACAGCCAAGACGAAGAACTACGGGACGGAGGCACTGTCCATAGCTTCTTCAAAAACAAGTATCTCTATTGGCTGGAGGCTCTTAGTCTGTTGCGCGGCATGTCGGAGGGAGTCGTAGCAATCCAGAAGCTGAAGACATTACTGGTGAGCATAAATGAAACCATCGTACTGTCGTACTGTTCGAGACAAAGAGGTTAACATACAGAAAGGGTGAAAGTACACAACTAGCGGACCTACTCGAAGACGCTCACCGGTTCGTTCTATCTCATAAAAGGGCGATAGAGATTGCCCCGCTGCAAGTTTACGCCTCGGCGCTCCTATTTAGTCCAACTGGTAGCGTTATACGACGGCTGTTTGGAAAAGAAGAACCGAATTGGATTTTATTGAAACCTATCATGGCAACGCATTGGAGCGCCTGCCTGGCGACGCTCGAGGGCCACCGCCTCAGCACCTACTCGGTCGCTTTTACGGCGGACGGCCAACGACTCGCGTCGGCCGGGGGGGACTGCACTATTAAGATCTGGGATCCAGCAACAGGCGCGTGCCTACAGACGCTTAGGGGCCACGGCGACGCCGTCCGCTCGGTCGCTTTTACGGCAGATGGTAAACGACTAGCGTCGGCGGGGGTCGACCACACTATTAAGATCTGGGATCCAGCAACAGGCGCGTGCGTGCAGACACTTAAGGATAACAGCCACGGTACCGATTCGGTCGCCTTTACGGCGGATGGCCAACGGCTCGCGTCGGGGTCCTTCGACGGCACCGTTAAGGTCTGGGATCCAGCAACAGGCGCGTGCCTGCAGACGCTTAGGGGTCACGACGGCGCCGTCTGCTCGGTCGCTTTTACGGCAGATGGTAAACGACTCGCGTCGGCATCGAACGACGGCACCGTTAAGATCTGGCATCCGGCATCGGGCGTATGCCTGGAAACGCTTGAGGGCCTGCGCCGCGGCTCGGTCGCTTTTACGGCAGATGGTCAACGACTCGCATCGGCGTCGCGCTACTGCACCGTTAAGATCTGGGATCCAGCAACAGGCGCGTGCCTACAGACGCTTAGGGGCCACGGCGACGCCGTCTGCTCGGTCGCTTTTACGGCAGATGGTAAACGACTCGCGTCTGCATCGGACGACGGCACCATTAAGGTCTGGAATCCGGTAACGGGTGCGTGCCTGCAGACGCTTAAGGATAACAGCGGCGGTACCTATTCGGTCGCCTTTACGGCAGATGGCCAACGGCTCGCGTCGGGGTCCTTCGACGGCACCGTTAAGGTCTGGGATCCGGCAACAGGCGCGTGCCTGGAGTCGCCGGAGGCCCACAGCAACGCCGTCCACACGATGGCCTGCGCGGCGGACGGTCAACGGCTCGCGTCGGGATCGGACGACGGCACCGTTAAGATCTGGGATTCAGCAACGGGCGCGTGCCTACATACATTAAGGGGCGACGGCGACTATAGGGACTACGTCCACACCGTCGCCTTTACGGCAGATAGCCAGCGGCTCGTATCGGCGTGGCGCTTCGGCACCGTCAAGATCTGGGATCCGATAACGGGCGAGTGTCTACAAACGTGGAAGAACCGAGGTGTCGACGACGTCGTCAAACTTCGCTATGAATCGGCAAAATACTCGCACCTTTTTGTGAATGTTCCTTCTACTGGCATTCAGCCGTTGCAAGCTCCTTTCCCAGGGCCTAAGTACGATGGCTATAGTTTACACCCTAATAAGCCGTGGATCATGAAAGATAGGGACCGAGTCCTCTGGCTACCTCCAGAGTACCGGCCGGAGACGGGGGCGTTGGCCGTATTTGGAAGGACTATCGGCATTGGCTGTGTCTCAGGGCGAGTGCTGATCATGCGGTTCTCTACAAGGGGGCTGGATATGTAGGACCTTCAAGAGATAGGACCTTCAAGAGAGTACGGAACGGGTTAGCGAAGAGATCATGAACATCTCTCGTTGATGAGTCCTCCTTTTTTTTTCGGTCGTTCTTCTCTCCTCTCTCGCTCCCTCCTAGTTTTTATCATAGCATCAAAGCACGGAACAAATGCATGGCAAGTAGTATGAATGGTGCCCGTGAGGCTGCTTACAACTAACACCGATGATCGTCACGGCTCTTCATCACGCATATTCACTGTTCTACGTGTCTCCAACCACCAGAGACGAGCACTGGTCCATGACGAGTGGGTCTTCCCGCAAACTGACGCCGGCCATGTCTTGCATTAGACTTGATGTTTAGTCTCTTCCGGCTGGCCGTTCCGGGCGCCTCTGAAACCATGCGCCGTGGCATGCGTGCTGGTTGGATACTGGACAGTCCTCTCCATGGTTGAAGCTGATTGTAGTGAAGTATGAAATGTGTTTCCTCTAGATTACTGCTAATTTGCGCTAGAAGGTCGAGAATAACCATGAGCTTTAATCTCTTCTCGCGAAGGGAAGACTAAGACGTAGCTAGCATACACACCCTGTGCTGGGAAAGGAGTGTTACTCAGCAAGTCAATGCACTTCCTTGCCTGTTCCCACCCCACCAAGAATAAAGGGGTTCTTTGGATTCAGATGGCCACTTCCATATCGCCCGTACAATGCGAAATAGAGGTAAACGCCGGTGCATTGCTGTACTGGCGGAAAATGGCAATTCGTTGCAAGGCCCACAAGCGGCGGATGCATGATCCCCTGCGCGTCACTAGTGTCACGCATCGGCTGGCGGGGCGATTGATTCATGGTGGATTCACGAGCGAACATTTGCCCTAGGCATTTTCTGGATCAGCATTGGATGGGAGAATACACGACCAGGGGAGTCGATGTGCTGATTGCGATGGCGTTGCGTCAAGCACTACGGTAGATGCAGACCGAGCCTGATGGACGGTGAATCCTGCATTTCTGCCTGAACAGCCACGTAAAGACCTGCTTCCGCCTCTGGACCATTCATTGCTCCAACTACGCTAAATGTGACGCGACACAGACGCGACCAAGACGCGATAACACAGCCTGTACTCAGGTACGGGCTCAGCACTAGCGTACGTATGGCGAGTGATGTATGCACCCAGTTCTCTCGCCATGACTTCATGATGTCGACAGCTCTGGTATCGTCTGACCGTAATGCAATTTCGCACAACCTCGATGGCTGTATGAAACCGCGCCGCAGTTGTTCCGCAGGTGCGAGCGCTCACAGGTCGCTGCCTTGGTCCAAATTGTACACCGGCTTGTTTACATTAGCTGACAGCTGTGTGGCGGCCTCGAGGGTGGTGATCGTGCTCGAGACCAAGCCTGTGACGGTAGCTGCCATCTTTGGGCGGAAGACTAAATCCGGGCTGTGGGTATGCTCCAATGCTGCCAACGTCTGAGACTTATTAGCTGTTGATACCTTGCTCCCCAAGAGTCGGGTCTCTAACAATTACGGAGAAGGACTCCTCCTACAGCCATTTTGTTTTGCATCCCAAACCCGTTGATGACAAAAAAGTGACAGTCGCGAGGGACTTCATTTTCATGATTGAGGCGGATGAAAGATGGAAAGATTTGTTGAAGTCTGGGGTAGGTAAGGGCGCAATGCACGAAACGTCCCGACAAAACAACATGAATTGACATGTACATTAAAAAAAGGCGTTCAGTCAGGCCCAAAACCTCGAATCATGACATATAAAAAGTATCCATGCCTTTTCCATTCCAACCTATTGCACCCTACCGCTCTCTCGTTCCCCATCATATTCTGACCGTCGACGTTTAAGTCCCCTGGTCTCGCTGAGCAAATGCTTCGCATACGCCGCCGCCGTGGCGGCCGCATATTCCTGCCAGTCGTCGTTCTTCTGCACATCACAATAATCGCAGATGCCGCGAATCACGAGGCAGGGAAATGTGTTGACCACGCCAGCGGCTTCCATCTCGATGCACATCACGGGCTGGTCGCGAGCTAGGTTGTCGCGGAATGCTGCATCTTTAACAACGCAGTTTCCTGACGCTATGAGTCCGTAGTAAACCATCGGCTTGTTTGTCGGCCGCGGGCCGCGCTGCTGCACATGGGATCCCCCTGTAGGGCAGTCATTTTGCGATGATGGGCACGTTGAACAGGTTTCGAACAGCTTATCGCGCTCCTGGCCTGGATGGCGGTATTTGTGGGGCTTGCCATCAGCGGTCGGAGGGATTGTCTCGGCGATTTTGTCGAGATGCGGCCGTAGTGGATCGTACGCCGGGTTCGGTTCCGATTGCAAGAAGCTAATGACATTGACCAGGCGGTCTGGAGGGCCTTGCAACGTACCCGTTCGCTCGAAGACGCCGCTCTCTTTTTCTTTGCCGAAATCGTGCTGAAATACACCAGAGTAAATACCTTGGGGAATGCCAACGACTACGTCACCAAGGCGAATGTCGTTCTGTTCTGAGGGCACGCCGCCACCGATGCCAACTAAGAGGCAGAATTGAACGCCGCGGAAGCTGCGTCTCATGTTCGACGCCAGGATTGCGGCTTCGGTGATCCCATACTTGCCAGTCGGGAGGCATGCGGTTACGACCATGTGCTGCGCCATTTGGCCGGCCGCATAATAATAATTGTCCCCGTCTGGTGTCTTGGGCCTGCCGTGGGGTGTGTCAAAGAGTGCTCGTACTGCCTTTAGCTCCTTCGACAATGCGCAAATGATTCCGACAGTGTAATCATTTCGGGGATATGTTTTCATCGTAGTGTTGGGTTGGATGTCACTCGAAGACCACATCGAACGAATGCTTGACCCTGATTGCCTCTCAGACTCCGACGTTGTCAAAGTTGAACCAATACCGCTGTCTTTAGATGAACCTAGGTCTTCGAGGTTACCTTCTTTTGGATGGCCGGCGTCCTCCCAGACCCACGAGAAATTGGGACTATGTCCAAAAATGAGAGCTCCTTTATCATCTGTTGGTCCAAGTATCAATCGTTGTCTGTCTGAATGGCGTGACTCTTTAGGTAACTCGCTAGAAAGTGCTAACGGGAAAACCGTTTGTACTGGATCGCAACGGCCTTGCCTTAAGGCACCGCTGCATTGACAGGATCCGAAGATAGTCTTTGGAGTATGCCATATCAGGTTATCGCTGAGCTGAATGCGGCCGTCGTCGGGAAAGCCATGCTGTTTGACCACCCTGCTCAAATCAGAGACGCACGTTGCGATGTAATATTTGTGTTTTGGCAGCTTGGCCCAGTCACTGCAAATATCCGGGTCATTCGGCTGGACAATATCGCCAAAGCCACTCCCAACTAACGTGACAGCTTGAATGGCTCTCGTGAAATCAACCCATGCTTTGCCGCCGGCCTCCAGTTTGGCCGCGCGCGAGGGCAACCGGTCGATCCTCGTCGCCAGGTCCTCGAAGTCCCAGCCCTCAAGACACATTCTCGGCATGTTACTCAATTTCACACCGTGGTCTCCCGCAATGTCAGCCTGATGGTCGATGAGTTTCTCCAACACGTTGCAAAAGTACTCAACCCGGCTCTTGAGAAGAGAATTTTCATCCCTGCGAAACAGCGTAAGGTTCAGGTTCTCGGGTATGTTCAGCACGTCAATGGAAGAGTTGGCCGTGAAGGGCCCCTCCGATACTTGCAGGTCCTTGCTTCTAAAAGCCCACGAAGATCGAAATCTGGTCCCGTCATGTGCCAAAGATGCTCGTACAACATGCAATAGAGCACTCGTACCGTTGATGAGCCAACCCCGTTTGTCGCGCTCATCCCAGAGGAGGACGAACTTGGTGGATATCCAGTTGAGCCGGACATGGTAAGGATCACGAGGTACTTGGACAGGCGTATCCTTGGCACCTAAGTGGCAGGACGAGTCGTCGATGATGGTCTGCCCTCGATGCACATAAGTCTTGGTGAGTGCACCCCCTTTGCGAGGTTCGGGAAGGCCTGAATGAGCGACGGGGGGGTGGTCTGCTAGGGTCGAACCTGTCAAGAGGCCTATGTCAGCAACAATTGGATGCATTGATGAGAGTTATAATCAAGCGGGCCTTACCAGCATTGAATCGGACCTTCGAGCACCATCCCAAGACATGGCGAAGGTTTTCTAGTTTTTCTAGTTTTAGGTGAGCAATGTGCTGTTCTTGATCCACAAAATCATCCAGGTAAGATATCCGACTTCCGTCCTTGTTGTAGATCAAATGCCAGCAAAGAATATCTTGATTCTGCCGGATCGGAACCAACATCGTTGAGAAGCCCTTGATGTAGACCTTGTCCTTGAATCTATCGACTTGCTGAGATCGAGCTAGTCTCGCCATAATGTTGAGAGGAATCTCCAGGCCGGTACTCCACTCGGCTCGTTGGGGAATAGGGTATCCCCTCACGACGACTAGATTCCTGAAAATGTCATGCCAGCACTGGCCATTGACAGTGCTGGGGGCTCGTGGTACCTCTTCTATCGTAAACTCAATCGTGCAGGTGAGATCGATTGATGACTGAAGTCCGAGCTGAGACGGTGACGCGTTGTTCCGGACGATCCCAGTGATAATCGGTGTGCAGTAGACGAGCCCGCTCTGTTGCATCGAAGTCGTCAAAGCGGCCCCAAGCCAAGCAAGCTGTTCTCCAGTCTCTGCGACGGAAGCCGGCACACCATTAGCTTCGGCAATGAGCCTCGAATTGCTGATCCACGCGCTGAGCTTCGTTCCGTCTGCTAGTTCGCCTGAAGGGGAATTAGAGGATGATATAACAGTTTGATCCCCTTGGAACCAGGCACTTACAAGAATGACATTTTCCGTCTCTGAGGACATCCTTGATCAATTGAAGTGTCACCTCTCCTGTCAACGGCCAAGTCTGATGCATGTACTGAGCACAAGTTGCGGCTTGCGCGTCCAAACAAGACCCCGTCACAGTGATGACACCTTCAAGCACCTCATCCGGCGGCTTTGAATACTCCTGTGCCTCGAAAAAACGAAATATGTCCCACTTGAGGTCAAATCTAGCACCGCAGGTGTGAGAAGGCAGTTTCCTACTAATCCTGTGAGGTGTGGGGAGTGAAGACATAATCCTTTCTCCGATTACTTGGATGGTGTTCGATTCCGTGTGAACGAGGTGGAATTCCTTCCGCAAGCGTGCGAGTAGCCATTTGAAAGCATCAGTGCTGAAGACGAACTCTCGGTAGGCGTTGAGCCAATTCTCAGGCACATCCTCATCCTCCGCATCTTCCACATCCATGGGCGTGGGTGCCTTGCTAGGCTCGCTCGCGGATTGGTCGTCCGGAATGGCCAGCGGCGTTGGGTTTGTACTGCTAGATCTCATCTGACGCTCTTCCTCTTGTCCGGGTTCTTCGAGGCTTTCGTCTCTAAGCCAACGGCTTACGCGCTCCTCCAGGCCCATGGCATTCGAATCAGGCGTGCTTTCCTCGATGTTCTCTTCCTCTTTTTTGAACCCGATGTCTGTAAAGACCGCGGCAATTTCACTAAAGCGTACAGCTGTCAGAATATCTTGTGGGCCACGAGAACAATCGAGTGGGTCAGTGGGTTTACTCACCGTCTATGCCTGTGCACAAAAGTCATAGTATCCCGATGCATTTGCGTAGGAGCATGATGTCCAATTTTCAGCGCAAAAGTCTTCAGAAGCTGGGGCAATGCCCTCGAGACCCGGGTTTGCGTCTCTTCGTCTACATTCAACGACTGAGTTTCACGGGACAAGGCGTCTGCCAGCTCCGAGATGTAGCTCTGCTGCCTTGAAAATGTCGTGCTCGGTGCGCTTGAATACTCAGAACCCGTCTCATCAATGTCTTTGTCAGCCGGCTCTTGCGTAGACCAGACAGCAAGCTGGTCGCCGCGCTCGCTTCCTCCATGACATCCACTTTTCATCGCAGATGTAGACGCATAACCTGAGTCGGGAGGTGCAAATAGTGCTGGCTGAACCCCGCGATGCTCAATGAGAAGCCGTGCCATTGCTTCATGATCGTTGTTTGAAGCCATTGAAAGGGCTGTCCATCCACTTGCGTCACGCACGTTGACGTCTGCTCCCTTCTCGGTGAGAAGCCTGACCGTGGCTTTGTGACCATTCCATGAGGCCCGATAGAGTGGTGTGCGGCCATCCTTATCGCTTGCATTGACGTCTGCTCCCTTCTCGATGAGAAGCCTGACCATGGCTTCGTGACCACTCCATGAGGCCCAATGGAGTGGTATTTGGCCATCCTTATCGCTTGCATTGACGTCTGCTCCCTTCTCGAGAAGAAGCCTGGCTGTAGCTTCATGACCATTCCATGAGGCCCAGTAGAGTGGCGTTAGGCCATCCTGAGCGCTTGCATTGACATCTGCTCCCTTCTCGAGAAGGAGCCTGACTGTGGCTTCATGACCCTTCCATGAGGCCCGAGAGAGTGGTGTCCGGCCATCCTGAGCGCTTGCATTGACATCTGCTCCCTTCTCGAGAAGGAGCCTGGCTGTAGCTTCATGACCATTTTCTGAGGCCCAGTAGAGTGGTGTCCGGCCGTTGTTGTCGCTTGCATTGACATCTGCTCCCTTCTCGAGAAGGAGCCTGACCGTGGCTTCATGACCATTTTCTGAGGCCCGTGAGAGTGGCCATCGGCCCCCCTTATCCGCCTCCGTGACGGTTATTCTGCCCTGGAGAAGCAGCTCAATAATGCTAGTTCGGCCATTCTGGGCAGCCCAAGATAGTGGGGTTCGATCTTTATAGCCAGTGAAATCTTTCCTGCACGTCAGACCTTCTGCAATATCTACCCCATTGTAGAAGCTTGAAGACAGATCGAAGAGAGCAGCAACTGCATGCTTGTGGCCGTTGGCCAAAGCAGCAAACAATGGATACTTGTATCTCTCCTCCGGCAAGTAAATGCACGGGTGTTTCTTGGGCCTTGTGCGGATGAGCTCCGCGAATCCCTTATCTGCAAGAATATAGTGAAGACTTGCATCAGGAGTATATTGGCGGGCCTTGTACCTTTCAAACCGATTGATGATAGTGATCCAATCAGAAGTAGGAAACTTGGTTAAGAATTCATCCTGAGAAATCGCTCTTGCTGCAATGTCGGCGTGGGAGAGCACATGGCAGCTGGCATACTCTAAAAATGGGAATTGCTTTGAGATTTCCCCTTGCTTGTTGGAGTTTACCAAAGAAATGCGCGCCAAGTGATTATCTATGTAGGCACTGCAGCATTGCTTGAGCCTCTCATGACTTGGAATCGCCCAGTCAAATCCAAGATCCGGCCAAAGTTCATGAAGACCCTTATCTTTGATGAGGAAGTCTCGTACGGACTCATTGATGAATTGAACTGTTGGCTGCTGCTTAGACTTTGTGATCTCAGCTAGCCCTTTTGAGGAGCTGATAATATATCTCTCAATGCAGCTACTAGCATCTGGGCCAGTGACAGTTGGAATATCCGAATCGGCCAGGTCCTTGAGTGATAGCCCAGACCAAAGAGCATGGTAAAATTCTTCTGGTCGTAGAGGCCGCTTTGAGTAAAGGATCCAGAGAATACAGAGCAGGAGGTGTTCCATATTCTCATTATCGCGCCTCAGGATATCCTTGAACAGTTCGCTCAAGCGGCTGGGGATTTCTGCTAGTCTCTTCCGCAGAGCCAGTCCACCCTGTCGATATTCCTTGTTGAGAATTTCGACAACGAGGACAACCCACAGAAAAACACCAGCAGCCTTCTCAAGAAGCTGGGGTTGCAGCTCTTCGACAAGTGCAGGGTCGTTGATTCGGAGGCGGCTTCCGATGTAGTTTTCCAAGTCTTCAGCGTGGCCTGTCTGGTCTTCCAGCGTCAACCGGATCCCCTGTCGTAACACAATGTAGGGATAATGTCGACTGGAGAAACAGATTCGGAGCAGGGTGCCCTTCGCAGATTGCTCTATCAGCTCCTCAAAGTATTGGACCATGTCCACAACTTGTTGTTCATCACACTCATCGAGAGCATCGATAAAACAAGTAAATGAGCGCTGACCGAGAGAGGAAACTGCATTGCGGAAAAGGTCCTTGAGAACACTTAAAGTAGGGCAGCCATCCTGACTATGGGGAGTAAGGTCCGGATCATCTAAAACTCCTTGGAGATCAGGATACCGTTCGAGTAGCTGGTGCAGTAATGATCGATACATGCCCAAGATGGACTTTTCCAAGTAGTCGCCCCGAGCGTTAAAGAAAAAGGAAGCAGTGATGGCATGCTGGGCGCGGTCTTTCTTCTTCATGCTCAAGTATATGAACTTCATAATAGTCGACTTGCCAGCACCCGGCTTACCACTAATCCACAAAAAGCCACGATGCTGCTCTAACCTCCCGGGATCAAGCCATGCTCGATAGTCGGGGTGGTTGAGGAACCATCTGCAGGTTTTAGAGTAAGGGAGGTTGATCGTTGATTTGCGAGCATCGATTTGATCAAACCTGAGGGAATCCAACAAGCGCCGCCGATGATCGTTCGATGAGTCTCGATCTGCATACCTGACATTAGCCACAGTGGCCGAAACTCGACACGACTGAAACAACTTACGAGAATTGGGCATGTAGGTAGCTTTTGCCTGTATTTCGGCTACGGAGAGTACTGATAATAGTTCTCTGGCGTATGCAGCGGCAGTTGCTGCTGCGTACCTCTGCCATTCTTTGCTTTTGTGAGAATCCGAGTAGTCGCAGATGCCCCGAATTGGAAGGCAAGGTAGAATATCCATCAGGCCAGCAGCCTCCATTTCGAAACATATAACATCCAGTTCTCGAGCAATATCGTCCCGGGCAGTGCCGCTTCTCATGACTTGGTTCCCTGAGGCGATAGCACCGTAATGGATCAGCGGATCGCCCGACACCCGCCTTGTTCGTGGAACTAGCTTCGAGTCGTCGCAACCGTCGCAGCTTGGCGTTGAAGATACATAATCATACGAGGCATGGAAGAGGTAATCTGGTAAGCTCGGTCGACCGTACTCAGGGTATTCCTCGAGCCTCTCCTCCAGGATGGATGGGACTTGACTGGGCTCCAGCTCATGTGTTGAACGCAAAGTGGACACAAGTGTGCCAACCTGATGTTGAAGAATCCTTGGAGTTGCTGTCCGCCAGATCTGTCCGTCCTCGACAATCTTCCCTAGATCACACTGCATCACCCTCGTTCCCACTACGATGTCGCCCAGACGGATATCGGCCATGCTCGGTACCCCGCCTCCGATCCCCACCATCAAACCTAAGTGAATTGACGGAAAGGTCCGGATCAAATGGGTCAATACGTTCGCCGCATTATTCGTCCCGTACTGTGCTGTTGGCAAGCATGCGATGACGATATTATGTTGCTTGATGCTGCCAAGCATGTAGGTGTTACTGTCGTTCGCATATCGAGGCAGGTCTTCGTGAATCTCGTCGAGCATGGCACGGGCTGCTGCCATCTCTATATGCAGCGCGCAGATCCAGGCGATGGTGTAATCATCGTGCGAAGGCGATCTGTTTTGCGGCTCGTGGATAGTGTTGCCCAGGTCGTTAGTCAAAGTCCTCTGCCGCTTTGTCGGGTAAGAGGAGCTTGTCTCGGCATGGTCATCGTGCAGGAGTCGTTTTCTATCCATCTCCGTCCTGGAAGCCATCCGGCAGGTGATGGTTCGTAGATGCGCACAATAACCGTTGGCAGAGGCATATACCACAGATGAACGAAAGGAAATGCGTTTGGTGGAGGGCGATGATCACGAAGAGTTTTGCGGCCGGTTCGTGTTTGGACACGGAAGATGGAGGAGGCACGAGGCAGATTGAGCATGCATCAGGCTGTCACGAAAGGTGCTGCTGGTACCTACGCACGCGCACTGCCACGACAGCCGACGCCGCCAAGCCGTCCTGCATAACCCGAATCCCTCGGATTTGCTTCTTGCCTGTCGCTCAACCTCACCGCCCCGCCTAATCTGCGCACCGCCCAGCTGCTCTGCTGCGTGACGAGCGAGCTGCATCAGAGGGCAAAGGAAGTCCAGGCCGGGCAGCGTGGGCCTGCGATCGGGTAGGGCAGGTCTGCTTCAAGAATGGATGCATTCAAAGGCCGTGTGGCTCACTGTGAACGAAATGGTGACTGGGTCAGCAAGGGATTGCAACTTTCAAGAACGGGATAGTGAGTGTGAACGTGTCGCGAGCAGGGTGCGTTTGTGACGCGAAACGCGCCCTACACCATCGCGTTTTCCACACCCTCAGTGCATCATTTCAACATCGTCTTTGAAGAGGCCAGCTAACAGCAGCAGAGATGCACACACAAGTGACGACACGGGATGTACATTGCATGGCACTTGTCGCGCTTTTATGGCCCAGACCTGCTGTGGCAGGAAAGACCGAGCTATCGTCATTAACCGTGGACAAAATTAGGTCAAGAGCGACAAGCCCACATCGAAGATGCCCCGCCCTCCGTACAGGTTTCCCATTAAAGCTTCTACGACATTCAGATCATACATATAGACTAGCAGCACGACGGACGCCCTTGGATTCTCGCGTATCCACGCTCAGGCAGTACGCCCAGCACTGCACCCAACACTGTATTGGCAGTACATCATGTTTGTTCTCCCCCACAGCCCCGTCACGGTCGACCCTATTCCCCCGATCGTCTGCCTCCTTCGGCACCGGTCGATATGCTCAAGCAGATAGCAACGTTATGACCTTTAGTGAGAACCAAGCCCAATGGCACGACACTTAATCGAGTTTTCTACTTGGAGGGGACTATAACGTTAATTCTTATAGGCAGTGTGATCATGCCTTCTTTCTTCTAAAGGTGCAGTGCTGGGTGCAGTGCCTGGGCGCGGATACGCGAGAATCCACGGGCTCCCCGCTACAGCGCTGGGGGGCGCAGTGCCTGAGCGTGGATACGCGAGAATCCACGGGCGCCCCAGTATGGCGAACCACTCATGCGAACTGCCCACACACTTTGACGCCAAAGTGCAAGGCAACCCCTGCCATGTCCTCCTACAGGGGCGCCCGGGCGCTTTTTCTGACTAATCATCTTAAAACGGCGCCTCCCCATTGGCGGGTGTGTGTGACGCACCATGAATTGAGTCGCGAAGCAACCAAACGACAATGGCGCAGAGATCATTTATCGATGATGTCCTCCCACCAGAAGGCGAATACGAATCACGAGAGTCTCTATTCAAAGCAATTAATGCTTGGGCGAAGCCTCGAGGATATGCATTCACGACGGGAAAGTCTTCGAAGACTCCTAACGGCCGGGTAAAAGTCGTGTACGCATGCGATCGGAACAGACTATCGCCGAGCAATTCGATTGAACGAGGACGCCGCACCTCAAGTCGAAAAACAGGCTGCAAGTTCCCAGTGCTCGCCAAGCAATCATTAGATGGACGCACGTGGATCCTCGGCTACCGACCAGACAAACAATGCGCGAAGCACAATCACCCACCAAGCGAAGACCCATCTGCTCACCCGGCGCATCGCAGACTTGAGGAGCGAGATGCAGCAACTGTCCGGGCAGAGAAGCATGACTAGTACCATGCAATGTACATCCCGTGTCAGCGCTCGAGTGGACGTCTCCGCTGCCGTGAGCTGACTGCGTCGAGGATAGTGTTGACGTGACGCGCACAGGGTGGAGTGAGCCTGTGGGAACGCGGTCGGCACGGGGCGCGTTTGGTGTCGCAAACACGGCCCGGCCTTGTGCGTGCGCATTCAACGCTCCGTGATGCGGCGACCGTACTACAGCCCAGCTTCCAACTTCTAGCCTCTATTATTGGGCTGCCTCATTCACCAGCCTGTCCTCGGATTTCCCCGGAGAGTAATCGCGGCAAAATGGCGTCCGCGATCTTACTATCTACAACGGCACAACAGTAGGCTGGAAGTCGACAGGTGGATAAGACCCGCGTTTGGCGGAGATTCACTTCACTCCAGCTTTCATACCAGCCCAGAAGTATAAAATACAAGTACTTCATTCTTGATAGATGCTATACTGTAGTGTAGATTACCGTTTTTGCATATTATTCGCCATGTCTTCCCTCAAAGAACGGTAATGTGCCACACAGGCTCTCGTAGTAGGGTGATCAGATCCAAGAACTTCCACATAACCGTTACAGGCCCTCTGATACAGCTTGGCTGCCTCTGAGAAGTGGGTCTGTCTGTGGAAGAGGTAGGCTAGGTTGTAAACGCTCGTGAGCGTGGAAGGATGCTCTCTGCCGAGCACCTTCTCCCGAGCATCCAGAGCTCGTCGATTCATCTGCTCCGCCTCCTCGTACTTTCCCTGGTATCGCAGCACCCCTGCAAGATTGTTGATGCTCGCGAGCGTATCTGGGTGCTCTCGCCAAGTACCCTCTCCCTTGTCTCCAGAGCATGTTGATTCATCTCCCTAGCCTCCTCATATATCCCCTTCATCCACCGATACCATCCTGCGTTGGTAAGCAGCGTGGCCCACCTTAAAACATCTTCAGTACTATTTGGCTCCTCTTTAAGAATTTTATCAATATGGGGATCCAATCTCTCGCATTCTGGCCAGTTTTTATACTCTCCTGATGGATATTGGTCTGATATGACCTTTAGAAACTCCCGCTTCCACTGCTGTATATTGCTAAATGACGATAGCCACACCTGTGTACAAAATTGCACTAAAGCATGCATTTCGAATATTTCTTTATCAGCCATTACCGCCACTAATAAGTATCCGCGAAGGGTCTCAAGGTCATCCTCAAGAACATCTTCCTTGTGGTTACGTGCGTAGGCCTGGAGGGCGGATTCGGGAATTCCCTGTGGATTAAAGAAGCTCATAAAGGAGAGTAAGTTAGCGGCTGACGGCCGTTCGCGACGGATCTGTTCGAAGGTGATCTGCCATGCAGTGACGATCGAGTTAGAGGCGCTCTCGTCCCGACGGAGGTCGCCTGCATCTTTATTAAGGATGCTTGCCTTATTTTTGTTGCTCCCCCGGAACTCATTTAGGTATGTGGGTATGGACATTCGCGGTGCCCGGCGGTTGATGAAAGCGGCGGCCTGCGTAATGGCAAGAGGCATATGGTCAAGAGTACGGACTAAATCGGTAGCTGCTCCAGCGTCGTAGCCAACCTCGAGTTTTTCTTGCAGAAGTTGGCATGCTTCCTCGGTTTTCATCGCTGGGATCGTAAGGATGTTACTCCAACCGCCTACCAATCTTTCTGCTACATCCATGTTTCGTGATGTAACGACGATGGATCCATTACAGTTCTGCGGTAAGAACGAGGCAAGTCGTTCCTGTGTAGTTGAGAAGAAGACGCCGACATCATCGGCGTTATCGAGGATCATCTCCCACGGGCCGTTCTCCTCGACGCGGAGCCACTCGCTTACCAGCCGAAAGACATTAACATCGGGATCGTTCCGCCGGGGCAGTTCGAGTCTGTCCGCGATCGACCGGTAGGCCTCCTCAAATCGCCCTCGAGTGCTGGCATGCACCCAGAAGACCCATGTGTTGAGCGTGCGCTGTTGGACTTGATGCGCATATTGAATGGCAAGCTGCGATTTTCTTTGATCGTGAGTCGAGGGGCGACATAGTTGCGCTGTCTCTAGACTTACCCTATGCCGCCAAGGCCGACGAGCGCGATACGAGAAGCAGGTCTGGCACATTTTCCATGCATCCATTTCAGGATATCGGGACGGTCGACAAAGTCGGGATCGGGTGGAAAGGGCACCGTCGAGAATGGCTTGCGAGGGTCGGGTGGATTTTGCCTACGGGCGGCGGCTGGTGCGGTCGGGTCCGTGTTGTTGGATTGCGCAGGAATGCTGAATGCACTTGATGAGAAAGTAGTTCTTATTGTTATTGTTCTTCTTGCAATCGAAGGACCTTTAAGACCTTATATCTTCGAGTGGTCCCTTCTAGGACTTGAGTCCTAGAAAGTCCTACGATCAAGTCCTACGATCTAAGTTTTAGGACTTCAAACCTTAACTTTAATCCTGAAGTTGAGGGGGAATCCCCTCAGTTCTTCCAACAATTTGTGCAGAAGCGGTTTAGTGATGGGGTCACGTGGAATATATTGGATGTATTGTCACACTGCCAATATATTGGGTTCTTGGCAATAAATACAATATGAGTCATGTTCATATTGGGTAATACAATATACACCCCTTGACAATACAATAATATTGCGAGGGGGTCCATATTGCCCATATCGTATTGTTTATATTATTAGCAACACTGGGCAGAACTTCCTATTAAAACCAGCCCGCCGTACTAATGACTCTATCTCGGCAGAAGCAGGCAGATATCGCAGGGGCTTTTGAGTGCGTGATCGGCGGATGACCCCGCAGATGACGGCCCAGCCCGTAATATCCCGGATTTCCTGGTGATATCAGCAACGCGACGCCGGCGCTCGACGACTGCGCCGTCGCGGCGCGATATAAATTGTAACTACGTGAAGCCCTGCTTCTGGCGATTAATCTGATCTATGTCGCGTATCGGTAGCCTGCCTGGCTGTGAAGTTGTGTCCGGAAACGTGAATTGCGTCGGATTCTACGGCGGTCTCCAGCGTCTCGTTCAGCGCACTGCCGCCACATCGCCACTAAAACTCCACTAAAACAGTCGACTATTTCCAATTCTTCGAGTTACTATAACAGCCTCCGGGAACGCCATCAATACAGACTCATCGTGGGATTAATTCTTTACATTACGAACACAATGATACTATCATTTTACTCGTCAGAACGAGGCGAACAAGATGGCATCAGTTTGGTCACGATTAGATGGCTAAATCTGACTTAAATTGCTCAGGGGTAACGTAGGCCATAGAGGCTCGGGTGGTCTGATCCAGGAGCTATTTATTTTGGCCTGTACGCTCTTTAAGTTGCTTAAAAAGCCAATCCAATGAGCGTTGCCCTCTCTCCTCGTCCAGCTGTCTCGCCGACTCATCTTCTGACCAGCCGTTTGCCTGTGACCGAGATACCACCTCAGTGACGATCCGTTTGCGAGTAGAAAAGAGTTGCCTCTCATTACGTAGCCGCCACTGTGAGCCCCATTGCTTCTCTAACGCGTCAACCGAGTCCATATAGCCTGCCAGACCATGTCTCCAGAGCCTCATGAGCTCTCTGACGGTACGGATAGTACGTGGGAATCCGATCTGTGTGTAACGGGCTGTGCCCGTAGGTGGCCTCGGGAACCCTCGGCCTTTCGTGGCCCACTTTTTACCTTTAAGCCACCATGACAAGTATATTTATGGATGAACCTCCTCTACTCTCTTTCTCTTCTTCTTCTTTCCTTAAGTTTGGTATACTCTGTAGAGTGGCCTAGCTAGTTGCAATACACTACCTTGAGACCGTTACACTGTGGAGGTAACTCTGTTATTGTCGTGATGGCCGTTGGGGCTCTGGTAGCTGCCGGGGCTCTGGTCTCTGGGGATGAAAAATGCCTTTGTTGTGAGGACGTTGGAATACCTTCTTGTTGTTCATATCGAACAGTCTGACAATGTGTTCTGCCAAAAGGGCTGATAGTTGTGACTATAGTGATCTCAGCCTTGTTGCGTTCTTGGATCTCGTCTTTCAGCCTCGTGACTTCTGCTTTAAGAGATAAAACCTCCGTCTCTACAGTCTTCTTTAGACTATAGATTCCAGCCTCAACTCCACGAACTTTCTCTGCAATTGCAGGTATTGCCTTCTGGATTAACTCGGCCTGGCTATCCTCACGAGACTCCTCAGAGGCACGTAAGACGCTTGCAGCAAAGTCTTTGTACTCATCGGTCTTGAAGATGGGATCTTTGAATATAGGATGGTTAGGAAAATCGCGTGCGAGAAAAGGAGCATCTTGCAACAAGACTACTCGTAACCATCCTAATAGCTCAATAAAAGCACCTGTAGCTTTATTCTCAAAGACTTCAGCCATCTCGTGACTAGAGTCTTTGAAGGCTTGGAACCAAAAGTCAGCCTGAGGCCAAATTTGAGAACGTAGCCAAGCTGAGGGCAAGACCGTGGAGCGTGGAATGAAGTAACTGCCAGCCCATTCTGGCGAGAAGTCGGCAGAGGCTCTCATGAACGCGTAGGGTAGCAATGTGAGACAACAGCCTATCATTGAGTCTCCCATATTCCATCTGCCAGCACGTCTAATCTAATAATAAGTTAATAGGGTTACCAGAGTCAGAGGGAGGTTACCTACTTGTGCCTCAGGAACGCCAGCCATATCGGCATTTTGCGTAGCAGCAACACGAGGTGCATGACTAGCCTTAGAGGTCTTAATGCCGGCATGGCTATATAGACGACGAGTCCACGCGTGGCTTGTTTGATATGAGAGTTCTGCTATATAATTAAAAGCTATAAAGACTCGTAAATAAGAAGACAATCTAACTTACCTGTTAGTCTGTCTTTCTGTTGTCGTAATATCTTAATATTATACCATTTCTCGGGATGCGAGAAGTCTGGAAATGGCTCTCTTTCAACCTGCCAACGAAAAAACAGCCAGAAAGCGAGTTAGCCAACCAAACAAGCATAAGGGTCACGATGTCTCAAGCAAGCCCCATACTCGATTCGGCCGTTCTGGTTAGTTTTGCCTTGATTCATAACCACAACAAAGGCGTAGGTTGGGTTGTTGTGAACCTGGACGCCCTCGTTAGGACACTCAAGACAGAAGCAGTCGGCCAACTCAATAGGCCTCCGGTTGCTTGATCGTAACAACATGTGGTTGCCGAAGAGAAAATCCACGGAAGTACGCAGTCCACACGCCTTCTCTTTCAATCCCCAGGCACAACGAGTATGCTCTGGTATTTTGGCAGGCGAGTAGGCATCTTTAATGGTGCCTACCATACGGTCTGCCCACTCTTCACGTCCTTTCTCGTGAGTCTGTCGCAGAAGATAGCGATAAATAGCCTTGTTTGCAAAGCCACGTGGATGTGGCGATGGATTTAACATCTGGCCATTTATTCTCCTCGTTCGTTGCTCTGCCCAGAGTCTCGTAATGGCGTTGCCGTAGGTCCTCACGGTGTTGAATTTGAGCGTGAGTGCGGATTTGAATGGCTCCTCTTCATCTTCTGATGTCAGATCGATCTTATCCACGGCCGTTTTGATGGCAACGGTGACACAGCTGTCATCTGGAGCTGAAGGGCGAGCAGGGTCGTCAACAGAGGTCGTCTTGGCCATCTTGGCCTTGCGTTCAGCCACACCTTCGGCCCAGCGTTTTCTTTCATTTTTCGCTCGAGATCCAGTCTTAGGTGCCCTGCTGACGACTTTCTCGTCGAGAAACCATACCAATTAGCCCTCATCCACGAGGTCAGCTGGCAGAATGCCTCCCTGGTTGTACGGCTTAGGCCAGTCTGGAGGGATAGACGGGAATGCTTTCTCTGCACACCATTCCTGGATATAAGTTAGCAATATGATTCGTCTTGCAGTTAAATTATAATAAATAAGCAGCTGTATATGTGGTGGTGTATGTAAGTTGCCTCCATACCTTCCACTCCTTCTGGGGACGCGTATACGTGCGACGCGTATTCTGTGGCTGCGTCTTGTCTTCATCAATTAAATAATAGTTGGTCGCGTTCTCAACTGCCTTGAGAAGCTCAAAATCTTCGCGTTGGGCCATTTTAAATGGGTTGGTCAACGAAAATGGTGATATTTTTGCTCAGTGTTGTATGACGTGGTTGGTGTTGGTGTTGGTGTTGGTTACACGCAGAACACTCGAAAAAAATCGCTACCTGAAAGGCACCACCGGGGTCGGGCCTTCAAAAACGCGTCGAAAAGTCGATTCACTATGGTCATCCCTGTCATCCAAAGCCGGAAACGAAGGTCCAGACCTTCTGTTTGCTTGGTTTTTTTGGTGCAGCGATGTGGGGCCGGATGACAGACCCCCTGCGGATGACAGTCATGCCCCGTTTTGGCCTGCGATACCGTTAACTCTTCGGATAGTACAATACTCGAACGATCATCAGACATGGGTCCTCCAGCAAAGCAAGCTAGGCTCGACAATTATTATACAGCAACCCCATCAGAATCGGCCCTCCGCAAAGTGTTCAATCCTCAGCGATATACTGAGAGCATGGTTGGCCTTCTCACGCGTCGTCGATTACCCTTTTCAGCAGTTACATGGGATGAGATACAGGATATCATGCTAGCCTGTAATCCCGCAATTGAGGACCTTCTAATGACATCAAGACATGAAGCAATGCGTCATATTACCGCAAACTTTGGCCTATATCAGTCGCAGTTGAAGGCTAAGCTACAGAGCGCCGTGTCGAAGATCCACATCTCATCTGATCTCTGGACATCGCCACATCGCCATGGTGTGCTAGCAGTGTGCGCACGATGGGTTGACGAAGATTACGAACATAGGAGAGCACTTCTGCGTCTACTAGAGATTCGACATAGTCATTCTGGTGAACCTCAGTCTCGACTTATCTTCTCGACACTCGACCTTTACGATATCACGAACCAACTCGGCTGTCATACAGGTGATAATGCGACATCAAACGACACATGTTTGCAGCATTTATCAACCAGGCTTAAGCAAGACCATAATGTACGTTATACTCATGCTTTGTTCTCCATCTAGTCGTCTTATCTATAGTAGATCAACTGGGATCCGAAACGGCACCGTATCCGCTGTATCCTTCATGTTATCAACCTATCCCTTCAAGCCTTTCTTTTCGCATCTTCACGTGAAGCACTTCAAGCCGCCCTTGATGCTGCTAGCGATATCACTGAGGATGAGCTCTACGAACGGTTCAACTTCGTCCTGAACGACGCGTCTGGTGGTGATACACCAAACCAGCTAGATCAGATGGGAGCTCAGACGAGACATCCTGGCGGCGTCGCATTCAAAAAGGCTTCCGTTCAGACGGGAAATCCTTCGAGATCAGATAATAGATCAGACAATAACGCCAGGAGGAAGGGCTGGATTATAATGCCAGCGCTGCGCAAACTACACCGGATCGGGCTGTGGCTACGTAACTCAGCTATCCACAGTGATGCATGGGATGATCGCATCAAATTACGGCTCGGTATTGATAATGATACGCGCTGGAATTCATGGTACAGGATGATCGACAATCTGGTAAGGAAAAAGCAGCAAGTAAAGCAGTTCCTGCTCGACTATGACAAAGCTCTAGGTGATAATATTCTCACCTCTTCTGATTGGGATTACCTAGAGAAAACGCACGCCTTTCTCCAACCTTTCACATCTACGACTTTGTGGGCTCAAGGCGTGACGGCGACGCTCTCGCAAAACCTCATGATCATGGATATACTACTTCGCCACTATGAGCAGAAGAAGGTATCATCTCATCTTTCGCCTAACTAAGCCAACTAGTTACTGATAATCTCTTTAGGAACTCTATGAAGCAGAAGAGACACATGATCCTCTCATGCTGCACTCCATTGATATGGGCTGGTTCGTACTTGATAAGTACTACGCTTTATCTGGGGAGTCACCTATCTATGCAACTGCCCTCCTCCTCGATCCGTCGAAGCGAGCGCGATACCTTAAGATGCACTGGAAGGAGGAATGGGCGGAGACTGCCATTAGGGACGCACGTACAATCTGGGAGGAAGAATACAAGATGGCGCCCGCCCTCGGACCTGCCCAGGCGCTGAGCGAAGCATCTGGGCCGCAGCAAGGACAGCCAAACGAGCTTGATCGGCTTCTGAACGAGATGATGGTCGCTGAGGAAATAACCGGGGACGTAGATGACTTCGAAAACTTTATCCACGCCCAGCCGATAAAGATTGAAGGCTCTCCTCTGGTCTGGTGGTGTCAGAGGGATCAGGTTCGGACATATCCGCGTCTCAGTCGCATGGCCATCGATATACTATCTGTCCCCCCTGGTTCTGCCGACTCCGAGTCTGCATTTAGTGGAGGAAGACGTACTTTATCATGGGATCGCGAAAGGATGTCATGTGTTAATCTGGAGAAGGTTGAATGCATCGGCAACTGGCTGCGTGAAGGACTCATTATACCATCATCACGTGGTGGTAGAGAGCTTGTTGTGGACGGTGAAATAAACGGTAGTATTCGGGTTGATTCGGATGATGATTTAGATTAGAACTGAACGAAATATTTACCTTTAAGCTTAGATGTATCTGTTGTTATCATCTCTGCTAAAGCCAGGGCTCCTAATAGTGCAGACCATTTAGACTATTAGTGCAGACTGCAGATCAGGGCAGGGAATACGGACGCCCGGTGTGGACGCTAAGTACGCTAGGTTGTTGGCATGGTGTTACAAAACCAGGGTACCCATGATTGTTGCTGTGCCAACCACTTTGTTTTGGATATTTCTGATCAATTCACTGGTGCGATCCGGATCAACAAGGCTCGTTTCAAGGGGCGCATCATCCTAGTCGTCAATCCACGAACGCCCGTCGTGGATTGATTATTGATCTTGGATTGTAGTCTGCACTAATAGTGTAAATGGTCTGCACTATTAGGAGCCCTGGCTAAAGCTGCTAGCGTGATATCATCGCTGCTAGAGCTGCTAGCGTGATATCATCTCTGCTATCCTGCTAAGCCGATATCATATCAGGATAGTGTGTTATCCTGATATCAGGATAATTTATCATATCGGATATGATATCAGGATAGGCAAGTCTGGATGGGCAAGGTGGTCCTCGACATTAGCTTCAGCGAGAGGTACATTCGAAAAGGCGAGGTCGATGGTGTTTCCATGCGGGTTTGTGGGGATGTCTGGAGTGTTCAGCAGGCCGAGGCCATTTTCCAATGCCCAGGAGGCAATCTCGTGGCCGCGGTTCGTAGTTGGGCCTGTCTGCCATGTATGATGTCTAGCGTTGAAGTCGCCTGCCACGAGGCAGCGATCACGGATCGGCCATTGCAGCAAAGTATCCAGCGCATCTCTTTCGTCGTTCTGGCGATAGAAGTTGACTATTATTGTATCGTTGACCGTAAGCCACAGGATATCGCGGCTTTGGTATGGTCGATTCTGATCTGCCGAGAGCTTAGAGTCTCGGCGGACGTATGTCATGACTCTAGGTCGAGTGGAATTGCTGTTCCAGGCTTCGACTGGAGAGTAGGTGTCGTATGCAGGATAGGTCTTCGTGAGGCAGCGGGAGTTTGCCGTTGTCGTCCATGGTTCTTGGAGGAGCACGATGTCGTATCGTTCAGAGTCTGCCAATGCAAGGGCACAGTCGTGGACCGGGGGAACCTTGCCGACGTTGGCTTGAAAGACCCTGAGGGTCTTTTTCTCACATCTTCGTGCTCGCGGGCGCCTACTCGTGCCCGTGATCGTGGGGACGCGTGATCAGGACGATGCGGCGCTTCCTTGGGGACCCGGGTCTTGGGTGCTCGGGTTCCTCCTCTGCCTCGGGGGTAGTGGCCACCATTATGCAAGACGGCGCTCTTGACGCGGCCGGACTGGGAGCCTGAGGGCTCGATCTTTCTAGCGACCCGGTGCTATCCTGCTGTGGGCCGTTTTGCTGTAGGTCAGGTGCGTGCCGTTGCGCTTTGTTGGAGATCACAAGTGTGAGGCGACCAAGGCGGTGGCAAGGTGTGGAAGAAGGAGGAACATTCTACAAGAGATCGTGCCTGTACATAAACGGTGGTTCCCCTACTACACTTTTAGGATGAATTGAGCAACTAGCATCTTCTCATTTCAACACGCTTCTACGTTGCGCTGGCGATATGTTTCAGCGCCCACAACTCGGATATGGTCCCTTTGTTCTTTGGTCAGCCGGCGGAAAATGCCGTGTACCTTCTTCGGGCGAGCTGGGCATTCGGCGAAGTTGGCGCTGTGCGGGCCGAGGCAGTTGGCGCATTGCTTGGGGGCGGTACAGTCCCCGGAGTCGTGGCCGGCGGCCTTGCCGCAGCGTTTGCACAGGGGGAGTCGATGGCAGGTACGTGATGGGTGGTAGTCCAAGCATACATTGCACTGCCTTGGCCGGTCGGTTTTCTTGATGAGCCTTGCTGGTCGGCTGCTGAAGAGGCGCCAGTATTTCTTGACTGGCTCCAGGAAGGATACAAGTAAGGTCTTCGTTAAGGGGTTGTCAGGTTGGTGCCGCGCGGGCCGTATGTTGACGGGTTTCTGCCCTGTCTGGATTTCAATTTCTTCGTCCACGGCTGCGTCGCTATCCGCTTCGTTGCCATAGAGGTCGGTCAGCTTGCAGGGGCAATCTGAGACTAGGTAGGTAAACCATTCCTGTCTAGTCTCTATGGCGGCGGCCCCTAAGTCGGTTGCCCATTCAGTCTGTCTCTGCGCGAGGAGGTCGCGGGTGGTTATGTCGGCGGTAAGGACGGCCCATCCGGACCTGACTTGGAGAACTCGCGGGATCTTGCGTGGATCCACTCCGAGTTTCCGGGATATAGGGTCCGGATTGCATAGTCCTTATGGGTCCTGGCCGGAGATTCGGCGTCCAGCCGGATGAAGACGCGGAGATCCTCTCGGGGTGGGGCGCCTGCAGTCGGTTGTCCCTGGCGATGAGGGGGCTGTTGTTGTTGACGTTGTTGTTGATGGTATCGGGGTTGGTGGGCAAGGGCGTTGTTTGCAGCCGGAGGCGAGGCCGCGACGATGCTGTAGGTAGGCGCCGGAGCAGATTTGGCGTCAGTAAGCGCCTGATTCCAGGAGTCCAGGAAGCTATCGGCAAACTTTTGGGCGAATTCCCGTTCGGGCCCAGTGGTGAATTGTTTCGCTGCTTCTTCAAATTTAGCGCAGAAGGCCTGAAACACCTTCAACTTGGCATTGTACTCCTCCACACGGTCGCGTGCGAGCTTCGTGGCTGCTTCAAAAATGGAGACTGGTTGCTGTACAGCAGTCGAGGTAGGGTCAGGGGAGGGGTCAGGATGGGCGATCTGGGCTCCTTCCGTAGCCGCAGCAGTAGAGATTGCATTGAGAGGCGAGGACGGCGTTTGAGCCGTCCTCCCGTGGGGCTGTTTTGCAAGAGGGCAGTGCGGGCTCCTCGATTGAGATTGGCAGGAGTATGGATTCCCAGGTCAAAAGGGTCCGGGACAATAGGCGGGCAGGAGGTGGCGGTTGTTGTGGTGCATTTGTTAAGAAGATTGGTGTAATTAGGGCTACTTTCTTAACATCTGCATGCCAAGAAAGTAAGATGACAAAGGAAGGTTTTGATTGGCTTTGTGTGACAGGCTGGCTTCTCGGCCCACCGGGTAACTCGCAAGCTGAGAGGGCGGGAGCGTGCCAAACTTAGGTTGCTCGTGAAATATGATATGACCATCAAACTACGTGTTCTTTGGTCATGATTCTCTGCCCTCCAATCGAGCTCTTACAGCTTCCCAGCTGCTTTCAGTCCTCGCTCACCATCCACTAAAATGCAACACCCTTCGTGACCCCGGCCGCCATCGCCAGCCACGACTGCATCGAATCCGCCTTGCTCATTGGCAAACTTGAGGACGTCATCGTCAAAGCTACCAGGCTGCAGCCACGCGGACGGGATCCCCAGCTCCTTTGCCTCCTGGAGCACCTTGAGGGTTGCCGAGGGGGAGTGATGACTGAGATGGACGTCTGTTTGGGGTTAGGAAGCGCCGCGACGCTGGGGACGGTGGGATGGTCCTTTTCCAGAGCAGAAATAGTTGCCGACCCGGATTGATGGGAGTGACTGGCAAGTCATGATAGAGATACCAGGCAAAGACTATTCAAAACACTGTCAGCCCAACACGGCCTTGATGAGTAGGTTATTGACATGGATCGGACCTCGGTGGCTGAACTTGGCGGGGTTTGAGCTAGCACCCACCACCGCGAAGGCGGAGGACGCAAAGAACTTGCGAACAGTGGCTTCGGTGGTCATCATATCATAAAGTCGGCTGAGCACTTGGCTAGCAGGATAGGTTGTGTCTTCGGCCGTTCAGGATTGTCAATCAAGGGTGCAGGAATTCAAGGGATGGTGTAGGTTCCGTTGTCACCCACGCCGCGCTGCGGGGCAGCGGCATACACCGATCGATCACTCCATCAATCTTGGGTGCTTGTGTCATGTGTAAGGCCGAAGCCGCGGCTGCGAAGTATAAATCAGTCGATCCTGCTGGTGCATCTTTTCTTGTTTCTTGAGCGACTCTCCCGAGTACAGTAACCTTTGATCAACAGCCATCGTGACCGTGACAATGTCCATTTATGGGTAAGTCATCATGGTCAAATCAATGCATCTTCTCCTAGGAGAATGCGCAACTGAACTGACGCCACGGCAGGAGGGCAACTTTCTCTGCTGCAGGGTACGCCGCAGCCAGGCCCACGTATCCTGCAAGTCTGTTCAAGACAATTCTGGGGTATTATCATCGTGAGGATCCTCATGGTACGCTGCTGGACTTGGGTTCTGGCCATGGAATTGTTGCTAGGGAGCTGAGCCCCCGCTTTGCCAGAGCCATCGCCATTGACCCGAGTGCTGGTATGATGCAGCAAGGAATGCAAGCCACTGCCCAGTTCTCCAAGATCTCGTTCCGCCAGGGCAGCGCCGAGGACTTGTCCTTTCTACCCGCGCACTCGGTAGACATGGCTGTAGCCGGCGAGTCAGCGCATTGGTTCGACTACCCCAGAGTCTGGCCAGAGTTGTCCAGGGTAGTCAAGTCAGGCGGCTCACTGGCCTTTTGGGGGTACAAGGACAACATCATCATTGGACACCCGCAAGCCAACAAGATATTTGAGAGGTTCTGCTACGGCGAAGGAGATGTGTCGCCCGGGCTGGAAGGGTTGAACCAGTATTGGGAGCGTCCCGCGCGAGACATCCTCCGGGGCCTGTTGGCGGACGTCAAGCCCCCTGAGTCGAAGTGGGACAAGATCAAGCGAATCACCTACAACGTTGACAAAGACACGACTGAGGTTGCAGACCCAGAGACGGCCTGGATGAGGAGCAAGATCAATCTCGGACAGTTTGAGGCTTATGTGCGGGCCTTCACTGCGTACCGGGGCTGGATGGATGCGCACCCGGACAAGAAGAGCCGTGCCGAAGGTGGTGAGGGAGATATTGTGGACATCTTGTTTGACCAGATCCTGGAGGCGGAACCCGAGTGGAAGGCACAGGGTGATCGCTGGAGAGATATCGAGGTTGAATCAGTCTGGGGCACGTACATTTTGCTGGCGAAGAGGAAGTGAGGACGAGAACCGCGAGGTCTTGATCAGGGCGGATATTCCGCCAAGACTTGATGAAAGTGATCGACAGCCACGCAACAGATATTTATGCAAATGCAATGAATGGCCTCTGAGCCCTTTTTTTTTTTTTTTTTTTTTTTTACAGAGACCAATCCTTTTGATAAGAGCTTTGCATATTTGCCCAAGTTTCAATAGTTTCACCGCCTCGTTTGGCTAGCAGATGGGCGACAATAAAATACTACGTCACCCCATGCACATTGGAGCGGCGATGGGGTGCATGGGGTAGCCTCAGCCGAAGGCTGTGTGTCCGCGGGCCGGGAAGCTATTACTACTACTGCATTATCTACGTACTGATCCATTGGCATGGCCATTCTTGGTATTATGTGACATGTACGGATTCCGTGTGAGCACCTGTCGTTTCCTGATCCCTCATCTTCATCTTCATGCCATCCGGGGGAGACCCGTAGACCAGGTGATTACGATCAAATGGTGCATCCAACATCAGACCCTCGAGCGTTTTCACGCGAGAGACAGCCACGTAGCTTAAACCAGTCTGAAAGTCCCGGCAGGACAGATCTGTAACTATCATGTCTTCGGTGATGCTTTGTGACTTGTGCACGGTAATAGCGTAGCATACGATCAGGGGAAACTGGGTGCGAGCGCAGAGAGTGGCTCCGATGAGGAAGTCCCTCTCCACTGGGAGAATCGGCACAATCTTCCTGCCATCAGCGGTGGTCAGGAATACCGGTCCGCTGTATTTGTCAAACTCCATCATGATAACACAGGGAGGGTCTTGGATGGGGTCGGCCCCAGGTGCCCAGCCGATATCGTAAACTGTGCCGCGAGCGCCGTTGCAGAGGCCAACTGGCTGCCAAAGGTTGGACGTCAGCATCAGACGGGAGCCAATGCATATTGGGATCTGCTTCGCAAGGTTGCCCGCCTTGTCATCAGGCGCAGCAGCCGCGCCGGGGCCGACGTTCTTAGCCATGACCTGGATGACTGGCCGGCTGAGGCGGTCGAGGTGATAGTGGTTATATTCGTTCACCCTATCTTTAGTAGCGTATACTCGTAAGGCGTTGACAAACCTTGCGACCTCTTGATCGTCTAGTTTTGCCTGTACGCGGCTGGAAAGGAGCTTCCAGGATTCCACAGATAGTTGAAGCAGCCGCAATTCCCCGAGAGCTAGGCGGAATGCCTCCTGATCGTCGCCACGCTGCCGCTGGACAACTTTCAAGAAGACCGATTTATCGAATCGCCTATATGCGTTTCTGCCCTTGATCTCTACTCCCTGAACCTCTTTATCGTAATAAAGCGGCTTCTGCAGCACAGGGGGAAGCTGAAAGAAGTCACCAACCAACAGGATGTTCAGGCCGCCAAAGAACTCTTCGTTCTTATTCGGGAACGCCTCTCGGAGACGGTCATCGATCCAAGATAGCTGACGCAGTCCCAGCATGCTCTTCTCGTCAATGATCAGATACTTGATATCCTTAAGCTTCTTCTGGAGCTGGGCCTTATCAATGGCTGAGAGAGGCTTGAAGTCCTTATTAATTGGCAGGTGCAACAGGGAATGCAAGGTAGTGCCCGAAATCTGATTTCCCGCGACGCCCGTGGGCGCGGCACGCCAGACGGGTGTCCCTCTCCCGCCCGTCGCGGCTTGTAGGTGCGCGGAGAGCAGGTTAATCAGGTATGACTTGCCAGTGCCGCCTCCGCCATCCACATGGAGTAACAACTGGGAGGGATCCCGGGTCAGGAAGTGGCCCATCACCGTGCCGTACACCAGGCGCTGCTCTGGATTTAGGGAATCGCGAGCCTCCAATGGCTGATCATCCACGTCAAGGTCAAGGGTGTTTTCCGCTTTGCGTTGCTTCCAGTAGTCGCCGTTGAGAATGCCATCATCGGTATACCGCCCAACATGAGGGGTCCAATCGTAATTAATGTCAACATCTCGGCGGCCGAGGATGTCGATGTCCTCTTCCTCCAGCGGGCGGTCAGGTAGCATGCGGGCGAGTTCATGCCAATCCTCCTCCGCGATGGGCTCCTCATGGGCCTCAAGCTCAAACTCATCGTCCTCTGCCGTCAATTCATCCGTATCCGGCTCTCCATAATGATCGTCCGCATGGGTATCGTGGAGCTGTCTACAGCGCATGTACCCGGCTGTGAAAGAATCGAACCGCTGGCCACCCACAACGAGCAACTCTTCTGGAAAGCGATGTGGATGAACCATCATCAATTTAACACGACAGAAGTCGTTAAACTGGGAAGAGGCTTCCATGGATTTGTATCGAGGGAAGTAAGACAGGACCCTCTTTTTCGCGTGAGCAGCGAGTCTCCTCCACGTGTTGAGATTGTACGACTGCAGGTATTCGAGATACGTTACATCCTCATGCTGGTCCTTTCTCTCTAGATATTTCCTGTAGCTGCCGATGGCCTCGTTGACATCTCCATCCACACGATACGAACGCGCCTGTCGCTCCAACGGACGGCAGTCCACGGTGACAACCATACGGGTGCCTTCTTGCAGCGGAATGTTAAGCAGCAGATGGGAAATCTCCTGCGCCGAGTAATCTCTCTCGGCGATCAGCTTGTTCATGAGGCGAGAGGAGAAGGACAACAGGGGCTGAACGTGCGATGTATGAGGCAAGACCTGGTCTGCAAGCCGGGAGAAAGACTCGGTCTTCTTCTCAGCTTTACTGCAATACTTCGCAGCGTAGGTAATGACCGCCTGTAAGCTGGTGCAAGGAGATATGTCGATATTGGCTAGCCAGCCTAGGATAATCGCAGGGTTGAAGTTGTTCATGAGGCTGTCATTCCGGGCCGCCTCAAAGATGTAGTACGACCGGCCTTCCTTCCTGATCACTGCGGCCAGCTCCCGCAAGGCACGAGGGAAGTCAAAACGACACTCCCTCTCTGGATTGGCAACGTTGGCCGCCTCGATATCTGCTGCGGCGCCTTCCATATCCCTTGCCAGATCGCCGGTTCTTTTCCTCACACGCAAGCAGTACGTGGTGTTGCACTTGTGGCGCTGGCAACGGTTGACGATTTGTGAGAGCCGCAGGAATGTCATCTCTATGCTCAGGGGATCCACGCTCAGGGGATTACCCTCACCCTGAGGCATAGTCCTACTCGGCTCGGGGTTAATGGCAGTGACGTGGAATCCCCACGTGCGTGCAAAAACATCACGAGCGGCTTCGTCCTCCATGTCGGCTCCGGGGCAATTTTCCATCCAGTACAGGCCGTGGTTGTGTGGACTCCCACGCCCTTGCCATTCATAACGATCCCAGTAATCCGTGATGCTGAACTTCTTGCTTAGCACGATATCCCGAAAGAGGCAGTATCGGCGGTAGAAATGGAAAGCAGCAATGTGAGGGTTCTGCCGCAATAGGCGGCGCGATAGAGCCATCCTCTCCGGCTCGGTGGCGGCTAGCCAGTCGTCATACTGGGGCATGTGCTGGTAGAGACTCCGCCAGTGTAAATCTGCCGGGCTAAACGTGATGAATGCACCAGGACAACCAAGGTTATAGGCGTAGGCCTCGAGGTCCTGCCTCTTTTTGTTCCAGAATGGACGCGTACCGCGAATAGACACCGCATGCCTTGTGATCGAGTTGATCAGCGCCTGCGCCTCGGGGTCCTCGCTGTGTTCGAGCGCCTGAATAAGTTGCTCTCGCGTCAGCGGCTGCTGTCTTCCATCATGTTGCTTCACGAAGAATCTGGACCGTGAACGTGCTTGTGACCGCATTAGCGTGTTGAAGGCGACGAAGCGGAAGGTCGGGTGGCGTGCAAAACGCCCGTCGTGCCAGCGCATCGCGTGCTCGACGTAATCTTGTAATCAATGGAGCGCAATCGGGGTTCAACAAAGTCGGCTCTACCGTCAGGAAAGAGGCAGGGAAATGCCAAGGAGAGTAGGGCATGAGAGCGATTGAACTCATTAATGGGTGTGTGTCGTATATTCGGGAGCTGCAGCTCGTGTTGTGCCTGCGCCTGGAAGCTTGTGGAAAGCCCTGAATCAGCGCCTGATTCTCCGGAGAGAATAGACCGCAGAGCATCGAGCTCCGTGTCCTTGGCCAACAGGTCCGGCACCGCAGCCTCGTCCTCCAGGTCAGGCTCTGCCTCCTGATCTTCCTCGGGTGAGTCGGGTCCAACATCGGCAGCCTCCACCTGACTCTGGGGGATAGCATCCAGGACATTACCATCTTGGGGCAATTGATTCAGCCGCTCTTCGTCGATGGCGACGCATCGATAGCCAGGATGATGGCGGCGGAGGTAAGGGATTTCCCGGTGATCTGCCGGATCTGGTGATCCGCCGGATCACCGCCACTTCGCACACTCAACATCAATCGACAATTACTCAACAACCATGGCGCCGATTGATGAGGCCCTTGATTTCCTGAAATCGTCGGAATCAGTTAATTATGCTGAGACTGCACGGCGTTTCAATTGCGACGAGACGACCTTGCGACGCCGACATCAAGGCAAACAGCGGTCAAGACGAGATGCCGACAGTTTGTATAAGTCACGTCTGTCAAAACAACAAGAACGGGATCTTATCGCTTATATTCATAAGCTTTCATCGCGTGGCATTCCCCCTACCTTACCTATGATAAAGAACTTCGCCCAGGATATCGCCAAAATCGAGGTCGGAAAGGACTGGCCGTACAGCTTCGTTCGACGCAATCGTGATGAGTTAGGTTGTACATGGTTCGACGGGTTGGACATCGCGCGAAAGAGAGCCGATAATGCCTCTAGGTATAGGGCTTATTTTGAGCTTGTAAGCCAATGCACGAAGCTTCCCTTTCACAACTGACAGTGGAAGATCCGCACAAAAATCGAGAAATACAACATCCTACCCTGCAACACGTATAACGCGGATGAGAAAGGATTTCTCTTGGGTGTGATCAATCGAACGAAGAGAGTATTTTCCATTAACGTCAAAAAGCAAGGCAAATTGCTCGGTGCGTCGCAAGATGGTAATCGATCTTGGATTACGTTCCTGGCGTGCATCAGCCAGGACATGACATCGCTGCCCCCATTCCTCATCTATCAAGGCAAACCAGGACAAGTCCAGGACTCTTGGCTCAATGAATTTGACCCAGAACATCAATCAGCCTTCTTTACCACCTCAGAAACGGGGTGGACAAATCACGAGCTTGGAAAAGAGTGGCTCGTCGGTGTTTTCGATCGCTTTACTAAGGCAAAAGCTCGAAACGGTCGTGATTATCGCCTTCTCATTACCGACGGCCACTCTAGCCATGTTAATATGGACTTTCTGGAGTGGTGTGACCAGCACCGGATTATCGTTGCGGTGTTTCCCCCCCATTCCACGCATCGGCTGCAACCCTTGGACGTGTCGCTATTCAGCCCCCTTTCGACCGCATACTCAAATCAGCTTATCCAGTGGACAGCAAAAACACAAGGCCTTATTGGCCTATCGAAACGTGAGTTCTGGACTTTATTTTGGAACGCATTTGAGACTTCCTTCTCTTCCGAGAACATTGCGAGTGGGTGGAAACGGACTGGTCTCCTGCCTTTTGACCCAGAAGTGGTCCTATCGCAGATCACTGAGAAAAAAGATGATGATTCGAATACGGGTAGCGACTCGGCAGAATCACTAGCCCTTCAGCAACCTACGGCCCGAGATTTACGCCGACTTATTGACAAAGTAGTCGACAAATCCTCTATCGATGCTGACCGCAACAGCCGAAAGCTGAAGAACACCCTCGAAAGCCTGCAATCTGAGGTTGAACTGCTTCGATATGAGAATCAAGGACTCCGCGAGACAATTAGCCAAGAAAAGAAGCGCAGACAGCGCGGTAAAGCTCTGAAAGATCTGCTCTTTGATCGTACAGATCCAAATTCAGCTCAGGTGTTTAGCCCAGCAAAAGTCGCTCAAGCCCGCCTAAAGAAAGCGGCGATGGACGCCCAAAAGAAAGAGGAGGTTCTGCAGAAGGAATCGCAAAAGGCTCAGCGACAGCAGAAGGCGGCGGAGCAAAAAGCTCTCGCTCTGGAGAAGAGGAGGCAACGAGAGGCGGAAATAGAGAGAAAACGGCAGGTAAGGGAGGCCAGGCAGCAAGAGAAGGAGACCAATCGACAGATTCGACAAGAACTTAAGCGTCGCAATCTGGAAATGGCACATGAAATGCAACATGAACGACGGGTGGCTTCTGAAGGCCGCGAGAAGAGTCCGGACGTTCGAGACGAGATAATCGTCGCTCTTCCACTCATACCAGAGCCGCCGGTAGCATCACAGGCCCTAGATCTACCAAAAGACAACCGAAAAGGGAAGGCAGCGACCACTCCAATCCGTACCGCTCGTCCGAAAAGACCCTGTCTAGCTGTTGAGAGTGATCGGGAGATGGTAGTCGCATTTCGGGGTACCGGGCGGCCGCAGCGGAATAGCAAGCGACCACGATGGCTTGATGACTGCGAAATAGACTGAGACATATCTTATAGTTGCATTTTCATTATGTGTTTAATTTTGGAAGATTTGGGACTGCGGCTGTGGAGCTATTATAGATTGATGTCTGGAATGCAAGTAGGTGTAAGTCCGGCGAATCACCAGATCCGGCAGATCACCGGGAAATCCCTTAGTCTACAGTGGGGTGCAAAGAGTTTGAAGACCCCTTCGCGTACCGACCCTCTGACTAGCCTAGTTAGGCCGGCTTCATCAATGCCGCTTTTACAGCTGAATCTTCCCTCTTTCAATCACTTCTTTCTTTACATCACGATGCCTCGAGGCAAAGAGCTATCGCCGTCACTACGGTCTCGTATCTGCGAGCTGAAGCGGCAGGGCTATTCCTATCGTCAAGTCCATAAGGCATTTCCTGAGATCCCTCTCGGCACGATAAAAACAACCTGCCGGCGCGAAGCCCAACGGGGCACCGAAAATATCTCTCTTCCGCGCTCCGGCGGGCCTCGAAAGCTGACCGACGAGCAACGCGATCAAATATACGATACGATAACAACGACTCCTCATATCCCGATGCGAGACCTGCTTGACTCAGTCGACAATGCCGTTAAGATACGCTCTATACGATATCTCCTTCGCGAAATGGATAAGCGGAAATGGCTCCAAAAAAAACGCCCTGCCCTGACGGAAGACGATGCTCGAAAGCGGCTTCAATGGGCACACCGCTATGAGCATACAGATTGGAGCTGTGTGAAATGGAGCGATGAGTGTATGGTCCGCCGAGGTCAGGGCATTCGGCCTATCTATACATTCCTTCGCCCTTGCGAGCAGATCGAGCAAGGCGACGTTACTCATACTCCGCAGCAAGGAGCGGTCCGGCAGATGTTTTGGGCTGCCTTTGGTCAACGGGCCCGTACGCCGTTGATCCCTCTTATAGGAAACGTCAATGCCCAGGGCATCTACGATCTCTATTCCTTTATCCTGCCCTGGTTCCTTGAGTCGGGCGATATCTTTATGCATGACAATGCCTCTGTACATACGGCTCGGATTATCAAGGCGCTGCTGGAAGAGCTAGGAATCCAGGTTATGATCTGGCCGCCTTATTCTCCGGACTTAAATCCAATTGAAAATCTGTGGGCCTTAATGAAAGCTGAGATATATCGATTACATCCTGAATTGAATTACGCAGACGATACAGTCGCTACGCAATACAGACTGGTAGAGGCTGCAATAGAAGCTTGGGATAATATTCAACCACATATACTGCAGAATCTTAGCGATACAATGCCTCATCGAGTAGCCGCAGTAATTGCAGCTGAAGGTTGGTATACCAAATACTAGATAATCTTAAAGCAGCTTCATAACAAAGCCCCTGTCAGGTGGGTCGGTACGCGAAGGGGTCTTCAAACTCTTTGCACCCCACTGTATCATCCGATTCCTGGATGCTCGGCCTTCTGTGTGCCCAAACCCTTTCTCCTGGGTCCGCCACCAATCAAAGCTATATCCTTTTAGCGTGTCGTGTAAATGCCCGCCCCGGCCGTTCCGCGAGACGAGGGCGAGAGGTGGCAAAGAGGAGGCTTTCAGGAGGCGTATCACTAAGGGTGGATTTTGCTACACGTCGATGTGGGAGCCAAACCCAAAATACTGGTGTCAGCCCTTCTTGAGGTGTGTCTTGCCACCGTATCCCACTACAAAGTCCAGGACGGACTCGCTCATCGCCAGATGCTTTGTACAGGAACTGGCGGCTCAAATTCTGGTCCCTCACTGCCAATTTTTGCAATGCAGCCTCTTGGTTCAGAAGTTCACGGTGGCAGATGTGTATCCGGCATTCTCCCATATTAGACCTTTTCGGGGATTTATGTGGGGCGCGGACACGGAAGGTCTACCTGGCAAGAACTTGAGGAGGAAACGCCGCTTGTGTCGATCCATAAAGCGTTCCAAGTCGTAGCCGGCTCCTTCGCTTCGTTGAGTACGTAGACTCTCCCAAGAGGTATTCCCCCATGGAAAAGCGCATGGCGGCGGATTGCGCCCCCCAACGCTAACGGCGACAACGGCAAGCTAGCCTGAAATCGTCAGCCGATTATGATGGTTCCATGTACGAAAGCCGGTTGCCACAAATCAGAAATGGTTCCACCTCGGTCATTTCATCCATGTACGCGCATGTGGAATCTCATATTCGGCTGCTAATCTGGATATTAGACCCCGCGACTCTCGCTTTGCGTGTTGGCAAATCGTGGGACAAATGTTCTAATTTTACTTAGAAATATAGTAGGGCCTAACCATGAGGAATAGGACGACTTTTTGTTCCTTACAGGCGCTGGGAAATCCTTGGATCCATCCGATCGGTCGCTATCCAACCCTCAATTCCTTGCACATGACAGCGTTGTGGCCTTCTTGCGGGGTAAGAAAAGGTACATGCCCGCTCACGGATTCTAAGCTTATCTCACCTTAGGTTTCCTGTCTTGAGCACGTTTGTGGGTCTGAATGCTCGTTTTCCGATAGGTCGTTCGTTTGCTCCGACGCCGCGCTTAGCAGCAGTGTGAGCGTCTGCTTTGGAAGTCAATGTGGGGTGAAGGATGCACTTCGTGGGTTTGCGTTCCGTCCAGTCACTTCCTCGGTAGCTTATACAGTTCAGTGGCAACAAGACTGCTTTCCGTCAGCTGCGGGATCTCTGAGCGGAATGTTTCCACGACAGTCCTTATCTGTTGTACTCTGGGCTGTTGTCTTGCGTTGGCAGCTGTTATCTTAAGGCTTATCACTCGGCTGAGCCGGCAGGGGGGCGGGTGGATGGTGGATGATTTAATTACAGCTTTGGCAACGGTAAGCTATGGCATCATTACCCCTGCCTTTCTATCCTAGGCCTAATTTAGTGTTAGGTATTTATAATACCTATATCCGGAGTAATCATTGCAGGCAAGTTACTTAGCTTATAGCTGGTCTCTCGTGCTAACACCTCAAAGCTGTGAAGACTGGACTTGGGAGAGATATTTGGATGCTTGAACCGGAAGAAATCACAGAATTTCTCAAGGTAGGCATACCTATCTATCTTCGGCGCCTCCTGCTGACCAGTCCAGCTGTACTACTTTGCGGAACTATTATACCCCCTCTGTCTCTATCCTTCCAAAGCCGCATTTCTTTTCTTCTACCTGCGTATTTTCTGGTCCCAAACCTTCCGTCGAATCACATACGGCACGATCGTCTTCACCTGTGCAGCTGGCTTGTCGAGTACAATCGTAAATATATTTCAATGCCGACCTGTCAGTTATGCATGGACCGGGTGGGACGGGGAGCACACCGGGCATTGTATGAACATGAATTATCAGGCGTGGTCTAATGCGGGCATCAGCATCGCGCTTGATTTCTGGATAATTGGACTCCCTATTTCACAAATAGCCAGCCTCACCTGGCCCTGGAGAAGGAAAGCAGAAGCATTCTTGATGTTCGGTCTAGGGCTCTTGTACGTTTTTTTCTTCTTTACTTTAGGTCTACTTTGCTAACTAGAGAATTTCAAGCATCACAATTGTTTCAATCATACGATTAAGGTACCTCGTCTTCTACCAGAGAACAGTTAATCCGACATGTAAGTTGGTCCGCAAGAATGTGTAATTGCTTGTTTCTGATCTTGCTAGGGGACCTGGTTCCATTAACCAATTGGTCTCTGGTGGAAGTTGACGTTGGCGTCATCTGCGCTTGCATGCCAGCATTACGAATCCTCATAACGAGAGTGTTACCGGACCTATTGACATCGTCGGATTCGAACAGGAGACCGGCCCCTACGGGACCGCCAATGCCTTGAGGAAGGGACTACTAGGGGGGGCTCAAAATCGCCATCCCCGCCCTTCGTACCTCAGGACGGGGGGGACCGCAAAAATAACACAGGTACCTACTATTTTGACATTATCATCTTTGTAACGGGTCAGGCCCACTTGGCTGGCGGCTCTGCCGCCAAGCCCGAATTCTTCTCCACAGCGCCATCGAGTTGATTCTCGAATCTTCTATATTAAAGAAGATATAACGCGTCTTCACGCACCCAGTTTGTATTTAGATTCTTTCCTTTCTTCATCTTGAAAGTAAACAGCATAGGGACTAGTTAGTTGAATCAACTCGCTAGAGGCCTTTCACAATCTTATGCACACCCATGTAACTCACCCACAACAACTGCAATTTTGCATTAATTGGCGACATGACTACATTATCTAATAGCGAATTTACTGAAATATCTGCTGTTTAAAAATGGATTAATCCAGAAACTGGCAAGCCTATTTTTTCACGCTTTAATAATGAGACTATTGAGGAATGGACTGTCGCGGCGGCGGAGCTTTTCAACGCAGGCTTTTACTACTTGGGTTATCTCGCGTACCGACGTTGATGACGGGGATCATGGGGTTGGTCTGCCGATTATATTCTATTCAGACAGTTATTATAAAATGAGCTTTCCCAACAGGCATTTGAACACTCACTGGTCCAAAAGAATTCGCAAACACTGATGTATCTGCCGCTGAACGCAGTCGACGATGGCTTGTCGGAAGGGCTTGCCTGTTTTCCTTTCCTCTTTTTCTTTTTACCCCCCTCCTGACTTCCGGCTCCTGGGGTGCTGGCCAGCTGGCCTCCCCCTCCGCCTTCGAGCCAGAACTCCACGTCTTTAGGACCTCCACCGAACTCTTTTACCCTTGGGGGATGTTGGAGGCCGTGTCCGTCGTTCGTGTTGGCGAGGCCAATAATGGTCTTGACTTTCCGCACGATTTCACCCTTTTTGTTCTTCCTTTCTGGCAGGTGAGTAGGCCTCACCTTAAGCTTCTTGAGGAAGTGGTTCAGTTTGTGCTTGCTTCTTTGGTGAGCAGAGTAGTACATGAACATTATCTGGTCCAGCGGCCCTGCTTCGTAAAAGGCCCCGTGGCAGACATTAACGTTGACAAGGGAGCGGCAGGTTGATACCCTCACGCTCGAAAAGAATCCTCGTATTGCTATCAATCCTGTGCCAAGATCCCACTTAAGCGCGTGATCGGCTAGAGAGAATCTCTTGCTAGCCCCAATCGTAGTGGATTCCCCGTCAGCTTTGAGTAGTGGTTTAGGAAGATGTTGAAGGCCTGAACCAGAGACTGTGCAGGAGGGCATAATATCAGGGAATAGAAGGGAAGCCAATACTAACCTCCAGGGTTGAAAATGCGGAAGATGTTGTTGCTCATCTGGAGCTGTAGGAAGTTGACGGAGGGACGACTAAAGGAAGATAAACGAGCAAAATGGAGACAGGAAATGACAAGTGCGATTTTGACACGCTGTCTGATCAGATCGAGTGGCCCCTGGGCGCTGGTTGAGGCGTGTTTCAGGGGCGCTTCAGAGATCAGCCCAGTTCTCGGCTTACCCTGTTTCAGCCTTGGGACCATCCCGGCGCTTTTACTACCTTTTTCAACGTGATGAGTATATCAGAATTACCCGATCCGGCAAGCGCTTAACTTGTCAAAGTACAGCGTTCACTTGGCGCTTAGTGAAAGGGGTTGCACTGGCCCCTGATTCTGTGACGTACTAGTAGTATGGAGGACACTTTGATGAGCTTCAGATAGTATATTTACGACTGGACAAAGAAACAAGCCCCTTTCACTGTCATCTTGAAGCATATCCGTGACCGCCAAGTTATTTGTTTAGGATATGCACGACAAGCCGCGTCCATGACATTCAGGAGGGACAATGACTGGTGCAATGCCAAGTCTCTACTTAAGATTCGATCGAATCGAAGTCTCAAAAGAGTAAATGGGTTGACTAACCAGCCAGAGTTCAATTTCAATATAAAAGCCCGACACTTCCCCAGTTTCTCGCCAAGGAATACTTCATATTGCAATTCCATTCTTACACCCATTACCTGAGTTGAGCTTAGGTTACCTGCTTTATTTCTATCATCCTCTCGACTGGACTGTTCAAAATGTTCTGCCGTCTCGCCTTGACGCTTCTCTTATCAATTTGGCTGGCTGAGAGCTCCGTCCTAGCCAGATTCAACGGTGTACCCGAGCAGGCCTCGAGGCTCGTTGCGCAAGAGGCGAGGCAAGAAATGGCTTAGGCAACTCCCGACTGGCGGTCCAGAATTGTCCGTTCCAAGACGCCTACGACAAAACCTGCGTACGCAGTACACACTAGACTCGGCCTGCTTCTAAATAGAATCTGGACAGTGGAGCTGGGAGATGATGATAACCAGGAGGATGAGCGCATGCAGATTCTAGCGTACGCGGAGGCACGTCAGGCCAGACCTCAACACCTACCAGGCCAAGATGGGAAATGCCTGGTCCCAGGGCCTCGATGATGCTGGTGTGAGCTCATTTAAACGCACACGCCGAGTATGGCGATGAACTTAGCACGAACCGGGGCTATAACAAGCGAATTCCTCCAAGCGAGGGTGGTGTACTTGATGACCGTGGCCGGTGAGTTGATATGCATATGTGATTTGTACATCGGCATTGATTTCGTTAATTAGACAAACCCGCGGCGAACACTTTGAGGGCCAGGGAGGTCCAGGCGACAAGTACTCCCAAGCAAATCGAGAGCAGGGTGGTCGCAATGACAATGATGTCGTTGATGCGCCCTTCTCCCAGAGTACCGGTTTGGGCAGCGCAGGTGACATTGCGACACAGGGCAAGCAAGCATCGCGAGCAAACGTCGGCAGCAACCCGCCTGGTCCGGGCGGTGCCAAGTTCAAGGGCGAGAACTACTACACACCCGAGAGCGTTCCCGACAGCATCTCGGCAGAAGGATGGGTTGCCCCAGAGAGTATAACGGAGGCGAGTCGGGAAGCCGAGAGGCTTGAATGAATTAGTGTGAAAAAATCACGAGACAACCACGGTATGGAATGAAGGACAGCACTACTCAAAATGTACAATGATTGTGATTCGTAAGAATATACACTGAGATAACTCGCAAACTAAGAACTGAACAATCCGAAGTATCAAACCCCAATATGTGCGGTATGGCCAATAAATAGGCTGCTTTGGACTCAAACGAAGGTGATGCAACACATAGAAACATCCTGAACAATCTGATGTATCAAACCCCAATATCTGCCTTCTTGCTAATAAAGAGTGAACTCAAAGGTAATGCAACACATAGAAATATTTCCGACATAAATATCACAGAAACCCATTAGCGAGTGTAGATGATGCGAGGGCCAGCAAATCTAGGGTTCCAAGAAATATAGTCATTGTCGTAAACACCGACCAACTCGAATCCCTCCTGGGTTCCAGCGGCCTTGCATGGTGTTTTCTTGGTGAGATAGGCGTTGTAGGTAGCATCCCAGGTGGCAGTAGCTCCTCTTTTAGCAGAGAGGCGGCCAAGATGGATATTGCGCTGATTTCCAGGGCCCCAGCCACTGGTAGGTCCTGGAGCGGGGCTATTGCTTGTGAAGACGTCAAGCTTTTTGCTTCCGCGCAGCTGGGCCGTGTTATCGAGGACAAATGCGAATTGACACTTCTTGCCCTCGGCTGCTCTAGGATAGGTAAAGGTTAAAAGGGCAGTGAAATCGTTTCCATGGTTATAGTCGGCTTTGGAAACCACTCCCTGGGTAGTGCGGGCGATTGCACCGTTGCGGACGTTATACTTCCAGAGTGCCGAAGGGGTAAAGTAGTTGACTGCTTGACGAGATTCGAGGGAGTCCGGAGGAGCCCCAAGAACGGAAACTGCAGCAAAGGTGGAGGCGATAAAGGTCTTGAAGAGCATTGTAATTGGCGCGAACGCGAAGATGTAAAAATGTTCAAGACGGAGATGAAGGCTGTATTGCTGTGATCAGCGGTGAGTTGCTGAAAGATATTAGATGGAAGAGGACTTAAGGTTACTTATATGTTAAAAGTTGCGCCCTCTGACACATTTCCAGCTCAATCACGCGTTTCCAAGCAGCTAACATGATGCTCAGCCTACGCTGTGGTGATGCATATCTGGCGTTGCTGCGCCACCACACTCAAGAGTCGAGTGGTCGAAAATAGCATCAACGCACAGCCCTCGCCGTATGCCGACTGTCGACAATGCCCAGGTGGCTCCTGCTGCTAGATCAGCTGGACAAAGCAGCCATTATAAGGCGTCCAATCACAATTCGGTGCCGTCATACGGTTATATTTTGGGTCGGGCTTAGATACGAAAATGCCGGCTAAGCTCTTAAGGTTTGGGGTCTAGACCGACGAAGACCGGCGTGAACAGAGGCTCTAAACCAAAAAGGTGGTGAGATTGTGGCCAACCACTGCCACTGGAGACTTGACTGCTGCGTTTCTCAGAGCTCTAACTATGCCTTGAGGAACGAAAGGTTCTTTCTTCCGCGCCCTCCGTAAAACTCGGGCCACTAAACGGTCCATGCTCAACGTCTTCACCTCAATCGTCGTGCCCTGATTTCTGAGATCCTTCTTACACAGACCTCCAGGAGAGAATCACAGATGTACTTACATCGCATATTTGGCAGGCGCCAGAGTAATGGCAGGAAAGCAGAGGAGCGTATCAACCAGGAATTATTCAAATACTGCTCTTATCTAAATCTGAAAGCCCAGAATTAGGGAGCTGATATCAGCGGTAGCCTTTCTAGGTCTAGATGATGGTATGTGTTTCGAAGATTCAGTGGCGCTACCTGGCTACAGCTGGCATCATATTTGGTGATGAGCTCAGTCCGTTTCTTCTTTGCACCATCTCTGGCGGTTTGCACTGTAGCCAAAAGTATGGCTCCAAGATCGTAACGAGTAGCGAGGCCCGACTCTTTGCCACTACTGGGAATTGGCTCGGGCAGGAGCATATCAGGAAGCTTCCTGTACCATTGTGATACGACCCCTGGCAATGGCCTTTTTTGATGTTGCAGTAGGTGCTTCCTGCGGAATTTGACCTGAAAGTTGTGACAATAATTATTGTCCCAATAATCTCTGCCATTAACAGTATAGCGTACACATAAAGAAAGGGTTTTGGACTCCAGATAGTGGGCACTTGGGAGTTGAATGCAGAAAGTAAATCGGTCACAACCCAGTGGAACCTGGGAGAGCGAGTCTTGCGGACTGTACTCAGCACTGACTTCCGATACAGTTACCCAGCAGTCAAAAGTAAATCGGCATGTAACTGATTTCTGGAAAGCCATGTTTTGAACCATGACTGAGCCCTGCAGTTGCATCTCATCTCGTGATAGCCACATTCTTTCGATATATACCGGCTGACACTTCCGAGATGTGCTGTCTTGCAGAAAGTTCGCTGCGAGTATCCCCCAGTCTGAAGTTGCTGCAACATCGAGAAGACATGCATTGAAGGCAAGATTCTTGATCACTGGCGATGTCGGAGAGCTAACCGCAAGGGGACAATCCAGGTTGAGGAAATGGCGAACATCTTCCAATTGCGAGTCGAAGTGAACAGCCTTTGAAGTTGTAGGTGTGCTAGGCATGTTAGCGGGGCGTCGACGCGAAGAGGGACGTAATACCGGCTGGACTAACTCTCCCGACATCCTGCGAATCATTTGAGGCTTCTCGTGAGGTTCCACATCCGTTCCTTGTTCTGAACCCATTGAGGACTTGGGTACAACAGTGTGGGGTTTTGGCAGATTTCTTCGTTTATCGAGTGTTGCCCCTGCCATTATTACTGCCTTCGTGTCACCAGGGGGTCTTGGTGACGGATGAGACACAGGTTGGTTTCCCGGGGGAATTGGAGAACAAATATTGGTGGAGCCTGCCTTTTCTCAAAATCAGACTGGATGGAAGTAGAGTATCGGCGTTGTTGGGAATAACGAATGTCAATGGTTAAGTATCGTTCCTCAATAGCACGAGGGCGTGAGCCACAGAAGTATAATCTCGTTTAGTGTCTAAGAAGTTTGAGATAGTGGGGGGTGTGCCGTAGTGTGGGTTCTTCTAGGCAGTGAGGTTGACGTGTTAATAGGGGAAGATTTGAGAGCACGTCTAGTGTCTATGTCATCCCTTTTGATGATGCGGCAAACGGTGATGAAGGGGTGCGGTCGCGGAAGCGGTAGGGATGTTTTGCTATCACAATCCTCGTTTCCGTAAATGCCGAATGTTGAACTTAGTCTCCCGTTACCGAAGATCAAGTCAGTACTCATGCCACTTTTGTTGGTACACATGTGATTGCGAGTACGTACTTGACTCCACCATCAGACCCTTTGGGGCAGTCAGAACTAATTACTAACGCGCGGCACCGTGCGTCGGTCTCGTTGATGTTCGACAAAGCACGTCATGGTGGCGCACCTACGAAAAGTTCTCCCAATGGAAAAGCTGCCGACGTCGAATTTTTTTTTTTTTTTTGGATTTCAGCATTGCATTCTAAGACGCTACGCCGCTTGATCCTCCTCTGCACCTCAAACGAGCGGGGGGTGGCGGTTCCGAGGGAGAAGACATCGCATCATTCTTGCATCACCAATTGCCCTTATGCTGGTCGTCGCAGCTCGGGTCTCGACTCGCCTGGATTTGGAGATTCGGCATCGACGGGGATCCATGCTTCAATCATGTTGATACACAGCGATAACGAGGTGTGATTCTCAACGGCCAGTGCTACCCAATGAGCAAGGGTGCAAGTGAGGGTTGAATGAATGAAATTTATTCCGCCTGGGAGGACTAACCTCATAGGGCCAAGTGCGCTAGGCTATTTGCAGTTCTAAGTTTATCGTTCGCGTCTCCCAGAAGCCCCACATTCTTCCTCGTCCGCTGATTAATCTCGCCTCGCTTGACTCTGGGTGACGGGCCTGCTTGAAGGCCAATTTCTCCAAGTGTTCAGCATCCTATTCTCAGCAGTACAGACCGTACAGCCTGATTCTCTTGCCTTATCTAGTTACACATCATCAATGCATCCCTTTAAGTGTGTTGGATACGCTATCGCCGTATTCGATCCGGTTACTGCTCAATAGGGTGTGGATCCTGAATCTGTTGATTGTCTTGATCTAGGATGCCTCCGGCCCCCTCTTTTCCTGAGGGGTTTCTAGTCATCTGACTGAGGTCAGGATATCGGTATATCAGAGGCTTATGCAAATCCGGCTTATTATGCCGCCACACGAGGACTTTTGACCTCTGTTAGATTGAACGCCTGAGTTCGGATAAGCGGGAATTGTTGGATACGCGGTCCCTCTTTTATTAACCAGTCAAGATGATGAGGCTGGTGATTGTATTCATCTTTTTGGTGTTCTTGTTCTGTTGTTTCTGCCACTGTTTATATCGTTGTAGCCAGACCCCCGCTTTTCCTGGGGTATGTTAACCGTGCGCATGTGCCAACCTAACAGGACCCTCTGTTATAACGATAGTTGCGGCTTGTGGCGCTAAATGGCCTGACCACCCCGCACGAAGATGAAGAGGGGAAGACGAAGAAGATCATCAGATTCAATTCCACAGACTATTGTATTCACCCAGCCGTGTGTTCGAAGTAGCTATACTAAGGCTCAGGGTTTGAGTCGCTGGTATACTGCGTATCCAATAACCTCTCAACAAAAAGAAACTTGAGATCCATGCCGGAAATATGACGGATTTATCAGCTTGCAGGACTTTACAGCGGTAGGCAACAATTAGAGCACATGCTGGATTGGTCCCTCGGATGGCGGCATAATAAGCCGGATTTGCATAAGCCTCTGATATACCGATATCCTGACCTCAGTCAGATGACTAGAAACCCCTCAGGAAAAGAGGGGGCCGGAGGCATCCTAGATCAAGACAATCAACAGATTCAGGATCCACACCCTATTGAGCAGTAACCGGATCGAATACGGCGATAGCGTATCCAACACACTTAAAGGGATGCATTGATGATGTGTAACTAGATAAGGCAAGAGAATCAGGCTGTACGGTCTGTACTGCTGAGAATAGGATGCTGAACACTTGGAGAAATTGGCCTTCAAGCAGGCCCGTCACCCAGAGTCAAGCGAGGCGAGATTAATCAGCGGACGAGGAAGAATGTGGGGCTTCTGGGAGACGCGAACGATAAACTTAGAACTGCAAATAGCCTAGCGCACTTGGCCCTATGAGGTTAGTCCTCCCAGGCGGAATAAATTTCATTCATAATGGCTCCCAAGTCATGCTACTGTCGTATGACCCGTCGCACCATGTTTGCTTACGGGAAAGTTACCCAAATGTCTCATCATAGTAAATCATATGATAGGATATCTAACAAGGGCGCGTGATGAATGTTTAATCATGTGAGGGTGGTGCACGGAAGGAAAGTTTCGCGGGGGCTAGAAAGAGATCATCAGACATTATCTAGATTAATCCGGTTCAGTTCGTGCAGATTGGGTCATGAGCGAATGCCGACTCTTAATTCTCGGTTTCCTTGCTCAGCCCATGTATCCCATTGCTTCTTACCGACAGCCAATGATGGCCAGCACTGTATAGATAGAATTGTCATGCCATTTGTACTACGATCAGATCATCTAACTTCCCTGTACATCAAGTCCGACAAAGATAGTTTCACCAAGATAATTCTATGACTTAATAAGTAAAATGAAAAGAGTGGGATCATACACATCCATTGATTACCAGAGCAAGCCGCCTCTTGAAATATTGCCCAAGTCGGTCTGCACTCTGTTTGTATATATGCAATTGAATTTTTTTTAAGCTTTGCATATTAGCCTCATACTAGCTTTCAACAATAGTCGAAATGAGTTTCACCGCAACACCGGCCTGTCTTGAGGTACCTGTGCCCGAATGGTATGCGGGTTTCCATTGTTTTTCTCAGTCACTGCCACAGACAAGCATAGACCCGCGCATCCTCAACACTGTAAGCGCCAAAGCATTCCTGGCCCAGTGTCTTGGATTGCGTTTTCAAGTGTTAACCCCTGTATTGATGTGGAATATCTACTGGTCCAGTTAATAATGCTTAGATTGTGTTAGATTTATCCACCTGACAACAATCGAGTGCTAAGCGCATGTGACCTTCCGAACGAGTTATATGACTCAATGTTTTTGCCAGAGATTGAGAGTGACTTCGGCGGTCTTCCCTCCATCGTTGAAAACCACAGAAACTCTGGCTGGCAGTACAACGATTCCGCGGCACCTCATTTTGTCCAATCCCCAGCGGTTCCTTCGCTGGAGACCGTCTCTAGTACGAAAACGACGTGCTCTCAATCAGAGACTCGCACGCTACCCCGCGATTCGACAGTGAAATCTGAATACATTCGACCAAAGCGACAACGGCAGGCCAATAACACAGGTGTATCGCGGAAGAATACGAAGAATAAGGAGCGAAACCGAATGTCTGCGTTAAAGTGTCGCCAGAGGAAGAAAAAGCAAGTTCGAGAACTACAAGAAAACCTGGAAGTGCTTGGCTCTCGCCACTCAATCTTACAAATTGAGTTCAGGGAGCTAAGGGGAGAGGTGAGTAAAGTAAAGAACCTTCTGATAGCCCACTCGGGGTGCAACAACGCTGAAATCGACAATTGGATCAAGTATGAAGCGACGGAATTTGTGAAAATTGAACTCACGTCATAGCTGGGAATATGCTGTAAGATGTCTTTCATCGCGGGGAAATGTCAAAGCACAGAATAATATACCGGGCTGGAGTGGTTTAGTAGATGATGGACGAAAGGCGGATATGGGACGAAGAGGCTCTGAAACAAAACAAACAAGCGTTTCCAGATTTAGCACAAAAGCCAATATAGGACTACGCATTAGCGCAGCGCACATTCCCTTTTCAGTGGCTGGCAATGCGACAAGCGAGAATGGATATCATCTAATTCCGCAAATTTAGCACGGTGAGTGGTAATGGTAGGGTCGAAAAACTCTAGTGCGTATTGACATGCATTGTTGATTGTCTTAGTTGCTAGCTAAGAGCAGCGAAGGTCCGGTCCAAAAGGGGTTCACCGATGCCGCTACGGAGTAGTTGCCTCACATTTTAGCCGTGAATCGGGACGCCGCTTGAACACGGGTCTGACACGGTGACACCCAGACCCACTAACAGTATCTAGTTAGCTAAGACTATCTAGTTAGCTAAGACAAGAGAATGAGGGGTTGTACGGGCCCGGCTGCCCGAGGCCACAGCTGCCTGAGGCGGCCGTGGGCTTCCTTCAACAGATTGTGTTACTCTAGACTGATGTAGGGTAAATGGACCTCAAGGCGTGAAGATGGCTCCGGTCCGGACACCTCCTCCCCATCTCCCAGAGTGATGATATCATCATCGCCTTCTTCCGAATCTGAGACCGGGTTCCATGAGTTGTCTGATATTTCTTCATTGTATATGGTTCGATCGGATGATTCTTCATTGTCTTTGTCTTTGGAAAAGGGGTCATTAGAGCTACAACCCCTATCCTTTCTTGTCCTCACTGAAATTCTTTGGGGAGTCTCCGTGAGTCGGCCGATTAAGTACAACGCCATCAAGTGTCTCCAGTCTGTACGCCTTCGTGGCTGGGGCTTGAGAAGAGACGCGGAAGGGCCTTACCGCTTGGACTTCATCTTGGCCTCCCCGGTCGTCTCTCCTCAGCCGATGCCGCGCGTTCTCGCAGTCCGCATGGGCTACAATAACACTTTTGAGATATACAATCTCGTCTTGAAGCCCACGAATCCTGACCATGAGTGCAGCATTCTCCTGCTTACACCTTTCTGAGTGGGATGGTAGACCATCGTATTTTATTCCCGATGGTGACAAACTTTTGGTACTGTCGCAGTCGACTGGCTCCCCCGACATTATGCTAGTTTTGCTGTTCCTGATACGTGAGACTATGTGTGAATAAAAGTCAGGGAGAAGACTAAATAGAGGGACTGCGGTGAATCACAATTACCTACCTCAAACACGACGGGTTAACTGAGATATAGAAACTGAAGCACAGAAGCTGATATTATTAGGAGAGAGACCAGCTTCCACTCTCGCTCTTTCTTGGAATTCTGAGCATGGACCCGTAGCACATTGTAAGATCATACGATACATCTTGAAAGCCACAATTGGCCTAAATTAGCATACCTATACCCATCTGGGATCTAACAGGGGCTCCCCTGGACACCAGCCAGTGAATACGCCCATTGGAGCGGCACAGCGAACGTCCGGAATCATTCCTCCGGGAAGGCTAACTAAATTAAGGAAATGAATTTATATTGGTAATGCTTCTTGGCTGAGACTGGAGGTTATGATGCTGGCCTCGGATGGTTGGCCGGATGAGTATACTTACGTGACTCATCCACGATGTGGTTGGATTAAGCTAAGTGTCACTCCTGGCTGATGCATCGATTCGGCCGTCTGCTAAGTCTCTGCTCAGTTCGTTGACCCGTTGCAGGAGGATGTGGTGGCGGAGGATCCCTGGCCGTGCTTCTTGTTTTGCTCAAAAGCATTGTAGCCTGAAAATGACGGTGAGGTACGACGAGGGGGTGAAGTCGGCCCGGGCTCAGGGCCACGTCACACTGTAACGCACCAAGACATGGTGGAGGGAGGGGTCTTGGAGGGGAAGATACAACAAAGCTTTCAGGCTTCACTCGCTACGCTGAATTGTACGCTGCACTTTGGTCAATTTCAAGGTGAGATGGCCAAGAGACGATGATTCCTGGGCTATGCAGCCATACTCTGCGACGTAAACGGCGTTGAAGGAGAAGCTTGCCAGTCTGCGGGGAGGGGCGCCTCCAAATTATAAAAGCCCAACCCTCAGTCTCTCGCGCCTTGGGCCTGCGTAACCCAACTGAGTGACTGGACTGTATTGCCCATTACGGACGGCGACATAACAACGCTGAGTGCCGGCAGCAGGAGGGTTGTCGGTTCGGATCTTCATGTCAGTCTCTTCCCGGCAACGGTGATCAGGGCATGTGCTCCCGCAAGCATTATGGCTCGTGCTGTCTGCTATTTTCTTAGTGACACCACCTTTGTCTCTAGTCTCGTCATCTATCATCTCGTTCTTTTCGACTCGCCTCTGCCATATCACGCTAATGGTGGAGGACGGATGGGGTCTACCAATCATAAGGCTCGGCGCTGGCGCTGCTTGCTAGCTTTGAATCATGTCCACTTTTATCAGCTAACTCGCCGTGGCAGGGTGGCGCCAAGGTATGACTACGGAAGGCTATATCTTACACTGGGTCAAAAACGATTTTTTGGATAGGTCCACGGCAGCCGCGGGCACTGGCAATCACTGGCTAGATGGAAGCCGCTAGTCCCAATTAGGCAGAATCCAATAGAATCACTTGAAATTTCAGGAATTATGGGTCTTCTACTATATCCCGGGCTTTCCAGCCCCTGTTGTATGATGACCCTGTATGACGAAACCTCGGATAGATTGATATCCTGACCTTAGTCAGAAGGGGGGGTATAATAACCCCTCTACCGGCTGATCCGGATGACCGGGAAAAGTAATAATCAACATCATCGTCACTGTATTGATCCCTATCCATCTAATCGAATTGACCGTAACGGATCCATCAGCCCCTTATAACCCCGACACTGCATTTCCACCCCGTGCCCGCATAATACCCTCTTGCTGCATACGCTAGCCGATCGGGAGAATAAGCAGTGTCTTTTTCGCGTTCAGAACTGTCCAGAAATGGACTGCCGCGATCGCTTCCGTGCAGGCGCTCAATTGTGACTGGTCGGTTGGCCTACTCCCTTGCCTGGGCGCCTGCGCGGCCTTTGTTCTGGTTCTTGCCTTTCTGGCCTTCAGCAGTTTCCGCAGTTGCCCAAAAATTGTCGTTTGCCCCACCTTCCCCATGAAATTCACATATCGTACGGTCCCGTACGGTCCGCCCACACGAATTTGTTCCCTTTCAGGTATTAAGGTGGGAGGTCACTCCTGACCCCACTTTGATCCGGAGTTTCCCCGAAGCGTTCACTTTCCTTAACAATTTCATGGCCAATTATTTCCCCTTAGACAATACGCAATACGTCCGCCCCGGCAATATGTGACAGGTTTCGATGTGAATTAATCTATGTACCGGGGTGGGGTGGGGACATGGGTGTAGGGTGGGGTCCCTGTATTGACTAAAATCGATGGAAAACGGGTTTTGACCCAGTGTAAGATATAGCCTTCCGTAGTATGACCTCTGCTAGGAGTGGTATCCTCATTCACAGGACTGCCTCATGCTTCCACAGGATTGCAGCAGTGACAGCGCACTCTTGCATCCCTTAGATCTTGAGCTTTTCACGATGCCCATGGGGCCTCAGTCGAGCCAGAGTCCACCAGGGCACGGGGGAACCTTCGTCCTGCACATCAATCTCGATAATCGGGCTGGCCCCGACGAAGCATTAAAAAATACATCATCTACCCAACAGCCCTTCTCATCAGCTCTGGGTTCCATCTATGGGGTGCATCCAAGAATCTGCTGCGAGCGGATCTGTTGACCTGTTGGTATACCGGTAGACCTGGCCGTCTGCCGCCATGCATTCCACTGCCCGCCATGTACCGACAACAAAATCTACAAGCAGTACAAGAAGTTTACCAACGAATTGAGCGTGACGATGGAGTCAGCCGCAAAACACGAAATCGAGCAGAGATTGGGATCCAGACCCGCCAACCGGTGCCTCTGGACTCATCGGCAGGAGTATCCCTTCCTATAGCACCAATCAAGCATGTGGTGTACCCATCTGATGATGAGGTAGAGTTATTTGCTTCTGGTTTAACGGATGATATTTCCGAGCAATACTTCTGGCATCAGCGTGTGACAACAAGTGGATGTAACAGGTCGGATTGCGTGGCGGGTTTTCGGAAAACCCCGCTAAAAACCGCCAAGCCCTTGACATCACCAAAAGGACTGTAATTTTTACGGATCTCGGTATTCATCGACGGCCAAGGCCTGCACGGGCATAAAAAATAGGATAAATAGGCTCGTCTAATTGAGCTGAACAAAATGACACCTGCCTCGAGCCGTGCATCCGTCTCGTTGTTGATTTGCGCGCGTTTCTGGTCATCGCCTTTATTTTCAAGTGATGACCGTCTATGGGGTGGTCTACAAGCCCTAAAAAGGCCGCCAAGTTACGACCAAAACAGGCCAATTTTACTGCACTTTTAGGGGGGTCTAGGCTCAACACTATAAGCAAAAAAGTCGTGATAGTCGGCTCAATGCAGGGGTAACTAACAAAACAGTCGCAAAAAGACTGCCAAAAACACCACGTTTCACGGCTTTGCCAGCCATCTCCGGTCCAGATCTCCGTTCTTTATAGCCTTCCGCACCTTATCAAGAGACCAGTTGGCGCACAGCTCCTCAATTCGCATGACAACGAGTGAGTGTACGCCGACGTCGCGCTCGCCCCCCCGCTCTCGCGCCTTCTGCGCGATGAAGTCGATTATCGCCTTCCTGCTGCAGAAGACGGACTTCTGGTGTTTGGGGCGCCAAGGAGAGCCATAGTCGGCCTCTAGGGACTCGATAGAAGGCATGCCCGCCCTCCCGTTCTTCCACACGGTCCACAGATCGCGAACGCTTCTGAGGTCTAAAGGAAACTCAAAGTGTGGTATTTGCGGCTCATCCGCTGCCGCCGCCGCAGGGGAGGCTAGGCCAACGGCTCCCTGCTCTTCCACAAGCGTAGGATTGGCGGGGAGAGGAGCGGCGGCCCGCAACGAGGGAGCCGGCGTTGTCAAACGTGCCGGCGCGGCGCGGCGCCCTCGTTTCGGCATTTCCAACCGCTGTGAGACCGTGCTAAGCCCAGGGCTGATCGTGACAGTATAGCTGATTTTGGATAGCTCAAGTATCTGTCTCGACAGCTTGTTCAGCTCTATCGTAAGTTGATAGAACACCCTATCTACTGTTAAGTTCACAGCGAGCTGTTGGCTTTGTAAGGAGCGCAGTTTCTCTGCAACGGCAGGGATGGCTCGATCGATGGTGGCCACATAACTC